GATTGGAAAGTATTATTGTTGAGAAATTGATGGACTAAAGTAAAGACAATCTCTCATAAAAGGAAGTTCAGAAATCGGAACTTCAAGAGTACAGTTGGATCACTGTTAGGTTTTTTTGAGTAAGGGCCACCCCACTGCATGCTTGAAGTCAGATGGCAAAATACCAAAATGTAAAGAGGAATTAAAGAGAGTTAAGATGAGAGACCCATAACAGAAAAAACCTTATTTACCATCCTAGCCAGGAGAAAATCTACAGGGCTCCCAGAGGGTTTCATTTGCTCCACCAGGGCAGCTAGTGTGGAGAGTGACACTGGCTCGAACTCTTCTAGGACAGCACTCGGAACAGAACCAGGAGCCATGACGGTGGCACCAAGTTTACCAACCCTGTACTGGATTGATGATATTTTGTCAACAAAAAACCTTTGGAATGTCACACAGATGTGTACAGAGGTGTCAATATAGACAGTCAAAAACGGGTTGAGAAATTCATCAATTGTCCTAAAAATAGTACTTGGAGAGTGGTTATTGGTAGCAATGATAGAGGAGAGATACTGAGATTTATTAGTTCTAACTGCTGCCTGGTAACAAGCTAAACTCTCTCTAACCATATCTAGAGACATTTGCAGATGGTCCTTCTTCTCTTTGTACTCAGCACTCCTACATTGTCTCCTAATTAAGCATGTAGTGTCATTGAACCAAGGTTGAGATGGTCGGCTGGCTCCTCTGTATTTCAGAGGAGCCACATTGTCCAAAATTCCCAGACAGGTGGAGTTGAAAAGCTCCCACTGGTCACTGGGGGAGAGCGAGGAGGTAGATGATTCCATAGTGCTGAGTTTAGTTTTGAGATGCTAGCGACAAAGGCCTCAACAGTAAAATGTTTTGAGGGTGCAACACCAGCTAGCATTTGGAAGTGGAGGAGAAGCAGACTGGAGAATGGATGGATGGATGGATGGATGGATGGATGGATGGATGGAAGATTGGTTTTATGATGGATGGATAGTTGGGTGATGGATGTACGGACAGATGGACAGAAGTATGTATGTATAGAAAGAAAGAAAGGAAAGAAAGAAAGAAAGAAAGAAAGAAAGAGAAAGAAAGAAAGAAAGAAAGAAAGAAAGAAAGAAAGAAAGAAAGAAAGAAAGAAAAAAAGAAAATGATCTTTTATATAGCTCCTCTCAAGATAAAAATCACGAGGCGCTTCATAAACAAAGAAACTAAGGTATCAAAAAGATGAAAAAAAGAGATTAAAAATATGTTTAACCCTCTGGAGGCAGGCGTTGCAGATTTGCAACGTTAAAACCCACCTACCTGGTTACTCCACATACGTATTTCATGAGCATTTTTTAACTCACAAGTACCCTTGAAGGACTTAGTTGTTTGTCCTTTTATCAAAACTTATTTTGAACCTGAGAGAGTTAAGTTCCACCTTTTATTATCAGCTGTTCTGATTCTGAAGACACCCGCTCAGACATTCATGCTCTCGACAGAAACATCAGGACTCAGTGTGGATCACAGCTGCAAGCAAGATTTATTTATTTTTTACGTTTTGTGTTGCCTAAATTTACTGTCGATGGTGATCAAGGTAAAATAACAAACACATTTTAATTAACTTTGAATGCAAACCACTTCATGAGGCCAACACTAAATTGGCTTTTGTTCCACAATTTTTCCTGTAAGATGCTATATTTTCAAATTTAATACTGTTCATACAGTAACTTCTGGTTTAGGTGTTTACAACAAATTACCTGCTGTCACCTGCATGCAAAAACGACCAAATAATCCACATTGCACTGTAAATTTGCCTCACACATTACTAATCCATCTTTTTGCAGCAGCCTCATTGATCCTTGCAATTATAACTCAATGTAAAAATCATTATTTGACACTTCACAGCTCATTGAAACCACTTATTGAATGTTTATGTTGTAAAAGTGCTTGTAGATGAAAGCGCTGCTAATGGGGTCAGTATAAAGTGTAGCACGAATGGGATTACTGTAAATAATAAGATCGGATCCTCCATCTGGCGGTTTGTTCACTGAAGTGTGCAAAAATGAAAAAGGCAACAAAAATGCCTGATTGCTGAGCAAAATGTGTTTAATCTTCACAGAGGAAATAGTACACCTAAAAAAAGAAATGGTAGTTTAGGCTGTAAAGGACAATACTCCAGTGGCGGCTTCAGAATTTTTTTTCTGCAGGTGCTATGAAGGAGCTTGTCTTTTTATTGGGGGTACTATGAAGGAAGTGGACATGCGTACCTATTGTTCTCTAAAACACCTTCAACACTAGCAGGTACACATGCGTGCACCAAACCTCAACAACACCTGAAACAATCATTAATATACGTCATAAACATATAAACAATCGCTGACTTTTCCATGAAATCATAAACATACAGCCACACAGAAAACCATCTATAGTGCTGCAAGGTTAGCTAACGTTAGTGTTAGTATTTCCAGCAACAAAACCCTCGACTGCTGCGGCGGTTGAGGGTTGACTCTCTTCATCCAGATCTGTAGGTTTTTGTGGGTCTGAGATCACTTCCAAAGATTCATTCGTTTCTGACTGAACCTGTGGAAATTTGGGCAACAAAAACCGATCCATTTTACCACTAGCTCTACCTTTCACTCGTTCGCAGGTGGAAAATGAGGTCAAAGGTTAACCTCAATTTCCTGTTTTGGTTTAAGTTTTTACTATCTATATGATAATTTACTGATAATTTTTGTTTTGTATATTAAATATTTTCACATCTACACGTAAAATAAAAATTTCGTGGTAAAAAAATGTAATATTTACTTGAGGTGCTATGGGGGTGCAATGACTAATCCAGGGGTAGCTATAGCCCCCCCCCCCCCCCCCCCCCCCCCCGGCGCCCCCACTGCAATACTCTGATACAGCCTCGAGATGCATGGTGAGGGAAAACCACCCAAGTTGGTCAAATTTCCTACAGATTTCAATAAAAACAAATGAACAAATGAGTTTGAAAGGGTTTATGATGGAGTGTGACTGAAAAAATAAAACCAACTTTACACCGGTGCAGAGTCATCTTAAAATGTCTATAAATGTTAAAGAGCAAGTCACCCTCCTACCAGAGGCGTGCTTCATGAGGAGGTATTGCGAGGCAAACTGAGAGGGCAGAGCTGCAGCAGTGAGTGACAGAGACTGCAGGGAATGAATGGAGGAGCCAAGGAAGTATAGTGCAGCGGTTTGGTGAGACCAACAACCTGATGGAACAGCTGCAGAACCCTAAAGCTTCCAGGCCTCTGATAGAGGACCCGAGCTTAGAAGGATGAGACCACCCGCAGACGTTGAGATTGGAATTATTTATATATATATATATATATATATATATATATATATATATATATATATATATATATATATATATATATATATATAGAACTGCCTTAATCCTTCATGACATAGATTCAACAAGGTGCTGGAAACAATTCTCAGAGATTTTGGTCCATATTGACATGGCCGTGTCATTAACTGTTGATACAAGGCAGGATGGAGCCATGCTTTCATGTTGTTGATGCCAAATTCTGATCCCACCATCTGAATGTTACAGCAGAAATTGAGACTCTTCAGACAGGCAACATTTTTCCAATCTTTTATTGTCCAATTTTGGTGAGCCTGTGTGAGTTGTAGCCTCAGTTTCCAGTTCTTAGCTGACAGGAGTGGTACCCAGAATGGTCTTTTGCTGCTGTAGCCCGTCTGCCTCAAGGTTCGTATGTTGTGCATTCAGAGATGCTCTTCTTCATACCTTGGTTGTAACGAGTGGTTATTTGAGTTACTGTTGCCTTTCTATCAGCTTGAACCAGTCTGGCCATTCTCCTCCGACTTCTGGCATCAACAAGGCATTGTTACCCACAGAACTGCTGCTCAATGGACATTTTCCCTTTTCTGGACAATTCTCTGTAAACTCTAGAGATGGTTGTGTGTGACAATCCCAGAAGATCGGCAGTTTCTGAAACACTGTGCCAAGTTTAAAGTCACTTAAATCACCTTTCTTCCCCATTCTGAAGCTTTTCTCATTCTGTCAACATGCCCATTGAGTTGCCACCATGTGATTAGCTGGTTAGTGATTAGCGTTAACAAGTAGTTGGACAGGTGTACCCAATAAAGTGGTCAGTGACTCTATATCAGATGCTGTTAAAGACAAAATAAATATGGCACTTTTACTATAAGCAACTTAAATTGAAGTAGTCATTTTGCACATAAAATGTTTGAAATGTAAGCATGCATGATAAATATGTGATGTTAGTAACCCAAAATGTTTTAGTTGTTCTTTTGTATGAGAGAGAGACGGCATGTATCAATATCAGTTCATATTTGAATTGGAACTTAAAAGTCAGCAATATCGATATATCGGATATCGATAAAAAAGCCAATATCAAGCATCCCTACTAAAGTATAATTATTGAAAAATGTGAGTCAAGTAGTTTAGGCTGCACTTCTAGAAATAAACTCTTGAAAGGCAGGAGAATAAATAAAACAGGAAGCAGGGATCTGAGCCTCTAAATGATTCATCATGAAAGAACGTGTGTCATCATCAACATCATCGTTGCCACCCATTCTCGTCATCTGCTGAATTCTCACCCAGTAATGTGGCTCCTATGGCAGGTGGTGGATGCTTACGCGGGTCATGAACTTTAGCACAGATGCTAATAGAGGAGTGAAAGCCACTTTTGCTCGCCCTGCCTGCTTGAGTGACATTGATCTTGGAGTAGAGTGACAGAGTCGTCCCTCAGAGACCCCATGCATGAGCAAGGCTACATTTTCCTTTTATCACTGTGCCAAAAGGGCACAGAGGGTCACACAACCTTTATATGTGACATCAGAACCAAAGAGCTGCTAATATTAACTCATTTTATCTCATCAAAACTTGACAAATGCTTGTGATGAACAAGATATTGTTGAAACCAAGGCGTTGATGGGGCTGGTTCCTTATTTTATTGTGACTCCTGACAGAAGGGGGGGGGGAAGGGTTAAAGCAGAAACGTCCACTCACTGTAATCAGCATAAACAGGCTGCTGTTCATTGAGAAAGCAGGTCCTTGTGTATCCTGGGATGTGCCGTTTTATTTAGAATCAGTAAAGGGTGGGAGCGTGAAGGATGTGGACTCAGGAAGGGGACAGTGCAGCTGGAGGTAAGCTCCAGTAACACAGATATGAGAGGGAGTTTCACTTTGTCTGGTTTTGATTTACGGAACGTGGAACGGAGTAAGTGTTAGAGAAGAGCATAACATAAGATTTCCTTAATTATTTAAATGGTAACTTGCCATAATCGGGCCCTGCATAACATTTCTGGAGGCCATGGTTTATAGAGTAGCTGAGTGCTGCAGAGAAAATGGTGTAGACTAAAGGTGGAGGTGGATAAAGGAAGACAAACTCAGATGTCGACATGAGCAGAAAAAGAAGAAATGGGTAGAAATTACAATGGTTCAATGCATTTTATCTTTGATACTGTACGTACAGCGGGTACGAAAAGTTTTCAGACCCCCGTCAATTTTTCAATTTTTGTTAATTTGCAGCCATTTGCTAAAATCAATTAAATTCATTTTTCCTCATTAATGTACACACAGCATCCCGTATTTCTGCAGATTTATTAAAAAAGACAAACAGAAAAATCATATGGGTAGTCAGACCCTTTGCTGTGACACTCATGTTTTTAACTCAGGTGCTTTTCATTTCTTCTGATCATGCTGAGATGGTCCTACACCTTGACAGAAACACAGTCTGATTACTTTCCATACCTATTTGATTAACTTTTAAAATGACAAAAACTGCCAACACATTTAATGGCAAGTCTATATTCAAACTCTAAAAATTAGTCGTTCTTCTAAAACTCCGTTTATCTTCATTATTTCATTGGAATTTATAGCAGGATTTGTAAAAAATAAAAATTAAAAAATTAAAAAATAAGCTTGTAATGATGCATGATGACATTTTCAGATGGATATAGGCAGGACATAATAAGGCAGCATGTGTCCGCAGAGAGTGGAAGGTCCTTCTGCTGTTTCACTTCTTTTCTTTTTCCGACCACACGTCTCCCTGAACTTCCTCTCCCAGTCACGCTGACAGGATGTGGGACCAGTTTCAGCTGAGCACTGAACAATGGCCAGTTTTCAGAACTGGTTTCTGTCTTTAATTTGTGAATAAATTATTTTGATTTCCTCCTCAGACTCTGATGAAGAAAGCAGTTTGTCTTCTGAAGACTGGGGCGATATTCAGGTATTTGTGTTCAAATTTAGGAAGAACGGAGTCCTGCTCACATACATGGGATCTATCTGGATTATTAATGGATTCACTGACATTATAAAATAAAAATACATTGAAGATTCATCACTGAACTCTAAAATGAAATGCTGAATTTACTTGTTATGTAAACTGGTCCCACTAAAACGAGCTAAAGCTGCTGTTTGAAGTTTTTCCCTTTCAGAGTTGTTTAAAGTGATTGCAGTGACCAAATTTTACAACAGGATGTCATTTTTACTTTGTTTCTTAAAAAATGATTAATTTACATTTCTTTTACAAGTTGCCGTCTGTGATATTTTTCTGGAACACCTTTTTGCCATATTGCTTGAAAAGCTTTTCATGTATGGCAACTAAAAAATTAAAAGTTTAATGTTAACCATGAACACAAAGCGACATCTAGTGTGTGGAGGTTGTACTTGTAACAATAGAACAAGGTTTCCAGCTGTGGGGGTACCAGGTTCACTGCAGACAGATGAAGTTACAAGCCAGCACCATGATGTACAGGGTAAGGACTAATTTCTACTAAAAGTTTATTTTACAACATTAATTAACGTTAGAACAACTTCTGGGCTCAGAAGCGTCCGCCATTTTCCACAGAGCCAGCCAGCAACCCACGATGTTGCCCTCTAGTGGCTAGTAGATGTAAACATAAACCCAGTGTTGTGCCCGTCCCCCCCAAAAGATTGTCTTCTAAAGGAAATACTGTACCTTCATTCTGCATACCTCTAAACACCCTGTGGAGGTATAACTTATTAAAAATATAGCTTTTTATGAAATTGTTCCATATTCAACCTTTAAAACAAAAAAATTTAATAAACTCTGAAATGTAGATTCCTGCAAGATCCTCAGCCAATCCAGTGCTGGTCCCCCTTCTAAATGATTGGATCATGAACCATCCATCAAACTGCTCCTCTGAATGTGTGCTGTATGCAAATCTTATTTAAAGAGATTCTTTGCAACTTTTTCATATTTTTAATCATTTTCTTGAGCCGGTATGTGCTAAAATTACCCTTTACATGGTTAATGAAAGGCCACCCAGCCGCTATCGTCCCTTGTGGCCATAATGTTCCACTTGCAACTTCAGAGTTGTCGGTCTGGTCTGTTAGAAAAAAAATGAACTTACATGCCTGGCTCTGCAGTCTGGTTCCAGAACGTTTCCTACGTGTTTTTGATCATGAACACAGCTGATTTGTTTAATTTAGTGATAAATCACTCCTGTAGACATTTAGAAAGGCAAGGAGATGTTTCAGCGGTTAGATTAAGACGAACGCACAGCAAGAAGAAAGGTATTGCTTTCGGTTCCACAAATGGACACTAGGGGTGCTAAAAGCATGCCAAAACTGCTAGTTCCCCTTTAAAGTGTTACTTTACATGTTAGAGTCTGGTTCTGTTCTTATTGGAAACTTATAGGTGATGGAGTTATTGTCTGGGAACGAAGCTAAGTCTCAACTCTGTTGTTTCTGTAAGAATGAGTGTGCACGAGTGGTTTGCTGTGAGCAGGCAGACATGATGGAGTTTGGTTGGTGTCCTGGAGATTTTGTTGGTAGTGGTGTTTCCCAAGATTGCATTGGTGCTGAACTGCTGTTGTTTTGAAGTAAAGAACAAATCAAGAAAGCTGAAAAGGGCCTTGTTTCTCACCATAAAAACATCACACGTTTTAAATGCTAGCATACTAAAGAGACTGAGAGGAGGTTTCCTTGGTTTGGAATTGGTTCTGTAAATCTGGACGTTCACAGCTCAGCAGAGCTGTCACAAGCCGGTGTTGTAACCCTTCCTTGCAACCATCAGATTCTGTGTCTATGGGGAGCCTGAAGAAAGAGGTCAGAGGTCAGACCAGGTCTTTGAAATGTATTTTCTAAAATGTAGCTTGCTTGAAGAGCAATACTGCACCTTTAACATAACAACGTATAACTTAGCACTCTGTTCTTTAGATTTCAGCCACCAGGTTAGTGGAGCCAGTTGGCATAACTTGGTTCAGTAAATTCAGCTTTTCATTTCTTAGAGTGTGGGGTTGAATAACCTTGAGTTCATGTTGAAAATAATCATCAACCTCAGCCATGTGATAATAACATAAATTGTAAATAAACATGGGCGGTTTCCATTTTTTAACCCTGTCTTGTATTTTTTGATTGCTTGTTAGTGTGAGATCCTGGAAAAGCAGAGGGATGAAGCCAATATGAGACTCACTGAACTGGAGGAAGGTGGGTAATGACTTATTCATGATCCTCACACGTTTGTTTGAATGATTTTATGTGGAAAAATATAAATAAATAACAACAACAAAAAAAGACAGCAAAAGGTAAAAAAATACCACTGCAATACAAAAGTATAAGCATTTTTAAAGACTAAAAATAGAGACAAAAATTTATGAAAACAAATTGCTCTTCAATTGATCTCATGACTGACACTAAAATAAACTTAAAGGCATTTAAAACAAGAATAAACATAATTAAAAGAAGCTATTTTTAGTACATTTAAGGCTCACATGTATGAATTATTCACACTCACTCCTTATACTCATCATTTAAGTATCTGAAAGCAGCAGAAACAACAAGCACACCAAAAAGAAAAAGAAAGCAAAACTTAAAAGTACGTACAAATAAAACTGTCAGCTTTCCGCCTGGCCTCTGCCGAGGGAAGCCTCGAGGATGCCTCCCCCAGGACGATGGTGCAGGATCATGGCACAGGCATGCAAAAGTCCCAGCCAACAAAGTATCCTGCCGAACTTTATCAGAAGAACCCGGCATTATCCCAGCAGAAAAACAAAGATCCAGTAACACATGGCAGACTATAAAAACATAAAGACAGTAGAAACAGTAAAAACACAAACAATAACTCCTGCGGAAGACGGCCAGCCGAGAACACCAGCACCATCTTTGTCTTTAACAAACTTTTTAGTAGATTAGGTTGCCATCTTCTCTGTCTTGTGTTAAATCTCTTGAAAACCCAATGTTATGCTTTAGCTCCTAACTCAGCATGAGAGTCTTTGTTTATTTTTGTTTTTATGTATTTTATGATGTGCATCTTTGTGTGTTTTGTTTTTTAATACTTCTGTGAAGCACTTTGGTTGTTTTATTTGTTGTAAGGTGCTATACAAATAAAGTTGGCTTGGCTGAAAAAAACCTGCAGAACCAAAACACACTTTTGGAAAACTAAATAAATAAAACAGAAGATATATTTGGTGCAAACAAAAATTGGCTGTTTTCAGGAAAAATGCAGAGTTTTTTTTTTTTTAACTCGTGTTTGCATAAAAGTGAATAAAGTTCGATAGGTAAACTTTTAACTATTTCACATGAAAAAGTGGAAGTATACAATCAGTTGCTTTTGGTTCTGCATTTTAAACCTAATTTAGACTGAAACCCATTTTCCTGTAAAAATCAGCTTCCAATCAGCTCCTGAAGGAGATCGGTGTCCTAGAAATGCAGTTCCAGATTGAACGCTCCTGCAGAGAGAGCGCTGAGGCACTGGCTTTCCAGGTAAATAATATTTTTTTCATGGTTTTTTTTTGTATTTTTCCCCCTTTTTAAACTTGTAGTGAAAGTGAATTTATGAAAGCACATTTAAAGTCACTGCATCAAGTCACTGACACTAGTCAGTGACTTGATGCAATTTGCTGGGTTCCTTATATAGGACACATTATTTCTGATTGGCTTAATGAACTGTGAATTGGAATGTTTATTATGTGAAGTGCCTTGAGACGACTCTTGTCGTGATTTGGCGCTATATAAATAAACTTGAATTGAATTGAATTAAATTATTAAAGTAAAGTAAAAGATCAGAATAAGCTTCTACTTCTAAACAAGGTTAGCAAAGAGAACAACATCCTGAAGAGGAAGAGCCGGATGCTGATGCCGCGGATGCCTGACATACCAGAAGATCTGATCTCTGAGAACCTTGATGTAGAGGCCGACCTCACTGTCGATGGTGATGTGGTTGATTCTGGTGGCTGCAGCACAGATGATACACTGCTGCTTGAAACTCAGGCTAAAATCACAGGTTAGTTCCACAAGGGTTACTATAACTGATCTGCTGTGGCTCACCACAAAAACAGAGCTAACAGAAAAAGAAAAGTCTAGTTTGCTTTTATTTTAGAGTGCAAACAAGAGACACAAAGGCAAATTTAGTCTTCAGATTTGCCTGATTTGTGCCTTCTTGCCACCTTTGTTGTCCAGGAGGAGGAATAGAAATTGGAACAGAAAAGCACCCAAAATAAAACAACATTTATGTTATTTTCCTTTATTCAATAATATACAAATGTCTGAATGTGGTTTGGTCACTATAACCCACTATAATCTAGACCCTACTTCACATGGTAGGATGTTTTTCACCAGCTCGTACCCTCTTAACAATCTTACAGATTTGCGAGATTGCTGTGACAGCTCTAAAGATAATCTTATCAGATAATCTTATCAGATAATCCTACCTTGTATGGCATATTCTCTGAAGGTTGTTTAGGACCGCTCTGATCTTAAATCTGGCCTTTCAAGCTGTTTATTCTTGGTCAGATTCTTAGAGCAAACAAAATGCTGCCTGTTGAATGTGAAGTTCATGTCCACATAGCCAATCAGAAAGTGAGGTCATGAAAGTGTGCAGCTTGCTCCTTCTCCACCGTGTTTGTTTACTTGTATGAAGTGAAACAAAGTTTATAGGATTTACAGAAAGTGCAATAATTCTTCAAACAAAATTAGGCAGGTGCATAAATTTGAGCTCTGATGTCATTTTATTGATTCCAAAACCTTTAGAACTAATTATTGTAACTCAGGATTGGTTTGGTAATCTCAGTGACCCTTGACCTCCACACACAGGTGAATCCAGTTATGAGAAAGAGTATTTAAGAAGGGCAATTGAAAGTTTCCCTCCTCTTTGAACATTCTCTGAAGAGCAGCAACATGAGGGTCTCAGAACAACTCACATGAGATGAAAACAAAGATTGTTCACCATCGTGGTTTAGGGGAAGGGTACAGAAAGCTGTCTCAGAGATCTCAGCTGTCTGTCTCCACAGCTAGGAACATATTGAGGAGACAGAAGACCACAGGAACAGTTCAAGTTAAGGTTCCAAGTGGCAGAACAAGAAAAATCTCAGATAAACAGAAGTGAAGAATGGTGAGAACAGTCAGAGTCAACCCACAGATGGAGTCACTGTGCATCGTTCAACTATTCAGCACACTTTACACAAGGAGATGCTGCATGTGAGAGTGATGCAAAGGAAGCCTTTTCTCCTCCCAAAGCACAAACAGAGATGCTTGAGGTCTACTAAAGCACATTTGGACAAGCCAGCTTCATTCTGGAATAAGGTGCTGTGGACTGATGAAACTAAAACTGAGTTATTTGGGCATAACAAGGAGTGTTATGCATGGAGGAAAAAGAACACAGTATTCCAAGAAAAACACCTGCTACCTACAGTAAAACATGGTGGCGGTTCCAGCATGCTGTGGGGTGTGTGGCCACTGCAGGGACTGGGAATCTTGTTAAAGTTGAGGGACGCATGGATTCCTCTCAGTATCAGCAGATTCTGGAGACCAATGTCCAGGAATCAGTGACAAAGCTGAAGCTGCACCAGGGCTGGATCTTTCAACAAGACAACGACCCTAAACACTGTTAAACATCTATCAAGGCATTCGTGCAGAGGAACAAGTAGAACGTTCTGGAATGGCCATCTCAGTCCCCAGACCTGAATATTAGTGAAAATCTGTGTTTTGAGTTTAAGAGAGCTGTCCGTCAAGCCTGAATGATCTAGAAGAAGAATGGTCCAAAACACCTTCAACCAGAATGCAGACTCTCGTTGGAAGCTATAGGAAGCTGTAGTGACTATCAAGTCCCACTTTTAGTCACCCTCGGGTGCGGGTGGAGGCAATGACTCGCTTCAACAATATTGTCCAGGCAGAAAGCGGGTTTGGGTTTATTGTCCCATTTATTGAATATGTTGACGATCACAAGCTGGGTCCACAATGGCTATTTCTTGTCCAGGTTTATGTAAATGATGACAATTATAACGGCAAATTAGATGTGGCATATGAAACCAAACGAAGCGGTAAAAACCGTGTGACCTCCCGTCACCCAAAAAACGCCAGTGCACTGCAGCCTCAACACCTTTATAGGCTCCACAGTGCCACCAGTGGTTAAAGGAAATACAAACCATAGTGCAATAAATAGAAATGTACATAAAACATTATCAAAATAAACTTACACCATAATATAATCTAAACCAAAACAAATTGGCTCCTACAGAAGTGTTTAGAGGCTGTTATTTCTGCAAAAGGAGGATCTACTAAATAGATAAACATTTGTTTCTTGTGATGCCCAAATTTTTGCACCTGTCTAACTTGGTTTAAAGAATTATTGCACATTTTCTGTGAATCATATGAACTTTGTTTCACTTCTCAAACATCACTGTGTGCCTCCTTAATGATATATTTAACTGAATTTTTAATTATAACAACCAACAATTTATACAGGAAAATGAAGGCGATTAACAAGGCTGCTCAAACCTTCACATCACACTGCATCCCTTGAGATGAGATTCTTCCTGATTGAAAGCAGTTCATGTGTAATATTTGAGTTGCTGCTCACCAAACACTTCAGAACCAAAATAGTTACATCTGCGATTTTGTCACAGAGGATTTAGGCCATGTTCACTCAGCAGGACAATATTGATGAGTTTTGACCTGATTCGCCTCTTCTGAAAGTCTTAAGGATGTGCCCGATTACCGTAATGGCTCTAAAAACAGTCTCATCAGGTATTCCTGCTGTGTGAACAGGGCCTAAGACGTACAGTCAGGTAATCACTGTGTGTGTGTGTGTGTGTGTGTGTGTGTGTGTGTGTGTGTGTGTGTGCGCGCGTGCGCGTGCCAGAGCTGCAGGCGTCGGTGGATGGCCTTCTGGCTGAGAAGTTGCTCTTAGAGCAACAAGTGGAAGAACTGACCACAGAGCAGATCAAGCTCAGAGAGCAGGTAACAGACACCATTCTCTGTGTGTGTTTGTTTTATTTAACTCATGGATATGGATTCAGGAGTCTAGGGTTTAGGAGAGTCCCCTGTGAGATCTATGGTTCAATGTGGGGTGGGGCTTACTCATAGATCCTTGAGTTTTCAAAATGAGTTGCATTTTCATCAATACATCAAAAGGATCTAGTTGTTATTTTTGAAGGTACACTCTTCTTCTAGTAAATCTGTAACCAAATCATTGAAATAGTATGAGTGCATGAGAGAGAGAGAGAAAGTGTGTGTGTGTGTGTGTGTGTGTGTGTGTGTGTGTGTGTGTCAGTCAGTGACAGTCTAATCACTGTTTTCCATCAGCTTGCTGTGGAGGTTGAGGAGAAAGAAGCCATTCTGAGGAAAATGAGCAAACAGAGTAAGACCATGAACAAAATCAAAAGAGGTACGTTTTAGTTGGGATCAGACTTTTACTGTTCTTAATGACGTGTTTCAAAGGTGTGTTGTGTCAGCTCGTGCTACCTCACTCATGAAACACAACCAGATAACTTATGGGTTGCATCTGTATTTTCACATCCTTGTTGTTTCCAAAATAGTTCACAAGCACAAAATACCTTGGCAGCAAACATGGTGGCAAGATGTACAACATGTGTGATTGACATTAAAAAAATATGAGTTCATTTTTATCTTTTTTGCAGTGTTGAACTTTTTAAAACCTACTGCAGTCACAGTGTAGGACATGGTTTCAATGAGACATCTGCTGATGGTGCAGAACCAGTGCTGTGTGATTTGTAGTGTTTGACTGGGTTGGCTGCACATCAGAGCTCTGCGCTGGGACTGGGATCACTGCGAGATGCAAATAATGTTAGAGTGAGCTGGCAAAAACACTTTAGTTCCCAAGATTATTCGTAGGATTGAGAGCACTGAAGTTGGTAACAGAGCTATGCACTGGGACTGGGGTCTTGAGAGATCCATTTGTGGGGTACTCCGGTATTCCTTAGTCATTTCAATGAAGGACCTTCTGCACTGCACTTGGTCTCTCCCTTCATCTAGGACCAGTTTGACACCAAAGACCCCGTAAGGGGCAAAGCACAAGATGCCCCTGGACGTCGTAGGTCTTAGAATGGTGGAGATGTTGATGTCAACTGAGGAGAGGCAGAGGAGATAGGTGTCCGCCCTGTGATCAGAAGTTTGCAGGCCCTAGCTCGGCTCAGCCTGTTGCTATTGTTGTGCCCTTGGGCCAGACACTTTTCCCCCTATGCCTGCTGCTGGTGGTCATAGGGACTGGTGGCGCCTGTGTAAGGCAGCCTTGCTTCTGTCAGTGCATCCCAGATCAGCTGCAGCTACATTGTAGCTCATCACCACCCGTGTGTGAATGGGTGATTGGCTGATTGTATTGCAAAGTGCCTTGGGAGGTTCTAGGACTCTGGAAGACGTTATATCAAACGCAGACCATTTACCGTCAAATAGCTTTGGGAGGGCATATTCCAGTGAGTAACCAACGCAATGAGTTCTGGAGATTAAATGACCAATTTCTGAGGAAGAAGTCACAGAGGTAGTCAAACATCTGCACAGTGGCTAAGCTCTGAGGGGTTGACGAGATTTATCCTTGGTGTCTCAAGGCTGTGGATGTTGTAGGACTTTCTTGGTTATCATGCCTCTCCAACATGGTGCTGCCTGTGGCAGGTCACATTTGGTCCATGTTTTTAAGAATAGGGAAACAGAAGATGTTTTCCAACTATAGAGGGATCACACTCCTTAAGGTTGGTTTATGCTTGACGCATTTACTTTCCGCGTGGTGATGCGGCTCGCGGATGGAACGCGCTTCACAACTTGCAGCGTTTATGGTTAATGCGGCTTGTCTCTGCGGTGAGCCAGTATTCTCCCAAACTGTGGGGGGCAGCATGGAGCTCTACGGCATGCATCCAACACTACACCACAGTAGAAGTAAAAATTACTGTTGTTTACAACATGGCATTCTATCATTTTTAACAGCGTCCTCGTCTTTTCCGACAGTGCGAGCTATTTCTCTCCAAGAATTATTAAAAACATGTTGATCACGGTGATCTTTGAGAGCTGAATCATACAAATGTCTGTATTTACGAACCTCTGCCATAAGTAGCTCTTGCCAGTCCGCCATGCTTTTCCACGTCTGACCATCCGCGTGGTTAGAAAATTTCCTAGGTGCGCGGTGCGGAAAGTTTGGGCCGTGCGGAGGTGCGGTGGAGGGGCGTGGTTGTTAAAATTACGCAATTTAGCTGCACGGAGCCGTGTGAACCTCGCGGACGCATCAAGCATAAATCAACCTTTAGCCTCTCCGGAAAGGTCTACTCTGGACTAAAGAGGAATAATGTAGGTTTTGGTACTGGCCGTGGAAATGTGGAGCACCTCTTTAACCTAGGGTGCAGGAGGGGGCATGGGAGATTGCCCAAATAGTTCATATGTGTCTTGTGGATCTGGGGAAGGCTTATGACAGGCCTTTACCTCCTTGTACCAATGGAATGCTAGCCTGTCAGCGATGCTGGTTGTGAGTCGGACCTGTTCCTGGTGACAGAATATCAAGGTGCAGCTGTGGCGTGGAAGGTGTCCAGTTAGATGGATGGAGGATCCCATCTCTGCTTTTTGCAGATGATGTTGTCCTTCTTGGTCTATCAAATTATGACATTCAGTTCATGCTGGGGAGATTTGCAGCTGAGTGTGAAGTGGCTGGAATGATCCAAATCAGTGGTCATTGATCTTTGGGAAAGGCTGGATTGCCAACTCCAGGTCAGGATGGAGGGCAAGTTGAAGATTTTCAGCATCTCAGGGTCTTATTCACGAGTTCTAGAGATCAGCTGGTAGATCAAGGCAGCATCTGCACTGATGCGGCAGCTAAATGATTCTGTTCTGGTTGGAGAAGAAACTAAGTGAGAAAGGTGTTAAGGGCATGTCCATCAGGGAGGTGGTCCGCAGGTCAACTCGGGACAGAGTGGCTGAAGCAAATACAGACTTTACATCTCTAGCCTGGATTGGGAATATGCTGAGGTCCAACTGGAGGAGCTGGTGGAGGTAGCAGTGGGGTGGATGATTTGAGCTTCCCTGCTTAAAAAAATAAATAAGACATAAAATTACTCCTACCATGTGAAGATTTTTTGTTTGAACAACATTTCTAACATTTATTTTAGTATTTATCTCTTCTGTGTGAACCTTCAGTGTCCAAGTTAGTCACGGAGGAGTTTACAGAAATGTCTCAGAAGCTGGAGCTGGAGCAGGACCTCCGGCAACATGCCGAAGTCGTCGCCCACCAGGTGTGTGTGTTTTCAGGGTTGTGCAAAAATATTTTTTGTCACACATTCACACCTATAGATGCTGAGGGTGACAGGTCGTGCCACAGGAAGGCAGAAGGAGTGTCGGCTTTGACCTTCGGGTGGCAGCGGTGAGAAAAAAGACATTTGGACAAAAAGGAGGGGCATGGATGAGCACACACACACGCACGCACACACACACACACACACACACACACACACACACACACACACACACACACACACACACACAGTGATTTCCTGTCTGTATGTCTTAGGCCCTGTTCACACAGCAGGTTTCAGTTGTGGTTTCAGAGAGCAGCAGAGGTGGCAGGTCAGTGGGTGGGGGTGAGTGGAGAGAGGGGTTGGCGCTTTATTTTCACACTGACTGTCAGATTTCAGCTCTCTCAATGAGGCGTGGCATTCACACACATAAATGCACACACAAATAGAAAAACATCAATTCACCTGCAACACACAGAGAGAGAGAGAGAGAGAGAGAGAGAGAGAGAGAGAGAGAGAGAGAGAGAGAGAGAGAGAGAGAGAGAGAGAGAGAGAGAGAGAGAGAGAGAGAGGCAGAGAGAGAGAGAGAGAGGCAGAGAGAGAGAGAGAGAGAGAGAGAGAGAGAGAGAGAGAGAGAGAGAGAGAGAGAGAGAGAGAGGCAGAGAGAGAGAATGGTTTCTGCTGTCCCAGCCGCTCCTTTAATGAAGGACGTTTCTTTCAAAAACACCCCCCACCACTCGTCCATCCCCTCCCGTTTAGCCCCTCCCATCCCCATAATTAGTGGTCATCACTGCTGCTGGGGAGTAGTGCTCTTTAAGCCCAACCTGTCTTTCCCTGACACCTTTATGTTTTGTGGAGCATATAGCAATTGTCGCCTTTGTGGACGGCGTCCTCCATTTACCGGACAGGCGCACAATTGGCCACCTTGCAGGGGTCCTTACCTGTGAAAAGGACCCCCTAACTCCCCACACAATTCAGCCCCTTTACTCTCAGTTCCTGGTGAAAGACCCCCCAACACACTCACTCACACACACCCACACACACAGCCTCTGTGCTGAATGCCTCTTGTGTGCGCTGCTATTTGTCTGTTTTCACGTGTTTTGAAAACAACCACCATTCACACCTCTCCTCCATGGTGTGTGTGAGTATAATGACGCAGATCCTCCAACAGGAAACAATTTGGACCTTTTGTGTGTGTGTGTGTGTGTGTGTATGTGTGTCTTTGTCTCTTTGTTTTGGCTGAATCTGTGTGTATGTATGAAATAAGTGTGCTAATTGCTGTGTGAAAATGGTTTCCTGCTGAAGGGGGACTAAAGATGGGAGTGGGCTGATCTGCAGCAGAGGCCTCGTGTGCTACATGTTGCTGATGCAAATTTAATTTGTTCTCATGGTAAAAAATACAGAAACAAAAACTTCATTTAATCACACTTGCTCTTCTTGGGCCATAGATTTGCTTGTGAAAAAGGTTTTCATAGAGACAATGACTGACCTTTGAGATTTCCCCTCCTACCTATTAAAAATGTTTCTTATCTAGAAATTTAAAATGATTTAATAAAATTTAACAGTATGTTCATATTACCCAAATATGCTGCTTTTAAAGCATACTTATACATTTTTGTATTTAAATAAATAAATAAATAAAAAATAATTCCAAGAAAATGAGTTCAAATTACAAAAAATAAAGCAAACACAAATTTTGTCCTTACTTAAATGTTTTAGATCAGATTTATGACTATTTGAAACTAAACTTGAGACTTGAAAGTTTTTTGAGTTTGTTTGTTTTTATTTGTTTGTCTCAACTGGCCTTATTTACTAAATTGAAGTAATTTCATATTTTGCAGCGATACTTTTACAGTTCTACTATGAATAGGACATATTTGTTTGTTATCTAAGTAATTGTAATGGAGGGGGCGGGGCATATAATTATATCAGTTTATTTTAAATCAAAATTGAAAACTTTCATGTCTTCATCAGCCTTTGAGTGCTTGTTTCTTGTGCTGCACCTTCTGCACTGTAACTGCTCTCCCTTTAACTGTGTTTTTTTTCTGATTTTAATTGATTTGAATGTATTTGTGTATTTTAATTGGGCTGTTATGTTACTTTAATGTTCTTGCCTTTCTCACTGATGGAAAGCCCATTGAATTGTCTCTGTGTATGAAATGTGCTATACAAATAAAGCTGCCTCGGTTATGTCAACAGTTGGACTATATCCGTATTTTGACTATTGAACATCCTTATAAATAAGAATCAGTCTGTCATAATGTTGATTGGGCATGTTGCAATGCTCCATGCAGAACTCCCACATGCTGCTACCTTGGTTGCTAAATCCCTAAATAGACCGTCCACACTATTTTGCTTGGTCTAGAGACCGAATGAAGCCCTGCAAGAAAACACGGTGGAGGTTTCATCATAATGAGGGGTTGGTTTACTTTTTGTGGTGCTGGAAGCAATAAATGTACAACAGAAATTGTAAAATTGAGGGATTAATACTGTATTATGATGCATCAGTGATAGAATATTGTGTTTTATTGTGAAGGCCATGGGTTTTAGCAGAACAAAGACAAAGATCACGCACCCAAAAGAAAAAAAAACCCACAGTTAAATTTTAAACCCCTAAAAAGAGTTTATATTTGTAAATTATAAACTTTATATGCAAACTGCTCTAACGGATAATAAAAGTCTGTCTGGTACTGTGAGTAAACTAGCCTGGAGATCTAGACAGACAGTAGCAGAAGCAAAATTATTTTGTTCTGCATGTTGGTCTAGCCACGCTTCATTGGAACCTCTGCAGCCCCGGACAGTCTGGTGGCCCGCCAATCACAGCGCTTTATTGATTTAATGGGGTTTAATGGGCCAATCACAGTGCTCCTTTGGTTTGATCAGCCAATTACAGAGTTCTATTGGTTTGGTGGACGGGTTGTTACTCCGACCGAGCAAAAAAAAGATGGTGACGGCTCGTTTAAAACTCTGGACTATTTAGACTAGGGCTTTTCTTTAATTCAAGAGCAGATAGAAGTACTTAAGTGCTTTAGTTAGAAAAAAGATGTATTTGAATCTTCTTCTAAAGAGTATGGCATACTGCCCTGTTGACTGACATCCTTAGCAGTAAGGACGTCACGCTGTTTGTTGTTCAATAGCATGTGGAGACAGTTTGAAAAACAACTTGAGATTCTGCTCGACAACCAAGCTCTGTGAATGGGTCATGGCCAGAATATATTTTCATATCTACAGGATGGCTTTCCAGGTTATGGGTGAATAGCAAACAAAAGCTATGAAGACAAGCTTGAAAGATGTCATGAAATGTCCTGAAACCAAATACGAGTGGATTTCTGAATGACTTATTGTATTAAAAACAACTGTTCACCAGCATGTTCAGACTACAAATTGTGTGACTTTCTTTTTATTGTGGTTTTCTTTTGTAGGCGCTAACAGAAATATGCATAAAAATGTGAAACTATTTGACTAACCCCTGTGCAAAAGAACAAAATACAACTCTTCAGTTACTAATGCTTGTTTTCATCTGTCACATTATAGAGCAAAGAAAAACATTTTCACACTAAAATGAGTCAAAACCTGTATTTCTTTGTCATAATGGAGGAATAACAACGCTTTGTCTCAGAGATAAATCTTCCTGTTCACAATGTTCCTTCCCTACAGTCAAGCCGATGAGTAATTATGGCTTCCAAATCATTATTTAGTCACACACGGGTTTGAAAACATTCTGCCTGCTATGTGACAACCTCCCGCGGAGTGAAAATCCACAACCGGCAATTCACTTCCCTCCATCGCCCGCTAATGGTGGCTCATTGTGATGGAAGTGTTTCTTTTCTATTTCCTTAGAAGCAGATGATTATAAAGATTTGTTGGAAGTGTTTTAGATGCGCTTTGTCTCATCAGATGCTGAGCGAACAGACGGCGGCCCAAAAATGGAAGGTGATGGAGCCTGGTGGCTCAGAGAGCGACGTGCAGCTGCAGCTGCAGCAGGCGCTGGAGCAGATCACCAGCATCAGCACCATCCTGTCTGATGTGCAGCTATACTACCAGGAGCAGGTGAGTGGGATGATGGTGTTAAATGAATGCTGCATATGTCATCCTCCTGCCCCTTTCTCTTGTTTTTGTGTTCAGGTGAAGCAGATGAAAGGTTCTGTGGAGGAGAGTGCTGATCTGTCTGAGCTGCAGAACCTGAGAGAGCAGCAGGAGAAGACAGAGGAGGAGAGGAAGAGTCTGGAGAAGCAGCTGTTTCAAGCTAACACGTCCATCACACAGCTGAGAGAGGAAGGTAGCAGAAACTCCACTAAAGAGCCCCCAAACTGTGAAAGATGCACCAAGACACCTAAATATGAGTGTTTTCTCCATTAATGAGAATAATCTAGATGTTTGTATTATTTTACATCCTTTTGAGTGACATTTGCTTTTGTCCTTTTGTAGTGAAACAGTTCAAAGAAACCTACAACAGGAAGGATGAAACCAAAGACGTGGTGGAAGAATCCACTCCTCCCCCTCCCCCTCCCCCTCCACCACCCCCACCAACTCCTGTCATCAAGTAAGTCAAACAAACACAAACAGTTTTCTAGACAGTTTTAAACTATTTTCTCTTCCTTTATCACTAATAAAGAAAATACATCCAAAGACTTTTACTTTTATACTTTCATTTTTTAAAATAAATAAAATGAATGTGATCTCAGTGATGTAGTCTATTCTCATTTATCTGACTAGTTTACAGGACTTCCTCAGAAGCAGGAGAAAAGGTGGAGTCACTGCAGCTGATCAGAAAAGTCAGTCTCCGCTTGTCTTCTGTAATCAACATCCCAAACAACCATTTTAGTTTTAAATTTGGACATTTTAAACTTGAACATGTCGTTTTTTTAAATCTTTTTCACTATGCATCTTCTCAGCGTGGTGAATCATTTCAGCACACATATACTATTTTGGTTTAGAATCATCTATAAATGTGAGGTAGATGGTTTAAAAGTAATTGTGAATATAAATATAAAACAAAGGCGTGTTTATGCTCTAATCTTTGCTTCAAGAGCCAGCTCCTTCTTCAGACATCAAAGCAAAAGCAGTGGATGAGATGATGGAGAGAATAAAGAAAGGCATCATTCTGAGGCCCATCAAAAACATTCAGGTACATTTTTGTCACCTGTATGTACAAATATCCAGATTAAAAGACATGAAAGCAAAATTGTCACATCATAAAGGATGATCTTTATTTAACATTTGATGCTTCTTGGGTCACAGGAGGAAGAAAGCTCCTGGAAAGTCAGTTTTCTTCTTTTTTATTTTTATAATAGGATCGACTCTGATGATCTTCTGATGAAAGGGTATCTTTTCAAAATATCAAATTGTCTTACAGGATCAGAGAAGTGAAAACAGGAAATCAGTCATCCTGGAGCTGAAGGGCGTGCTGGTAACAAAACATGAGCTACTTTGTAAAAGTGAAAACAGACAGACTGTCTGATCCATGTTTTCTCCCTTTGCACTCTAGGACAACATTAAACGTCAGCCCCACCGTAGATTGCCCTCCAGGAGAGGAAATATCAGAGATGCTGAGCTACTGATGGTGCTACAGAGAAGAAGGAGAGTGATCGGAGACACACAGGACACATGGTCCTCGAATTTGCCTCCCGGTATGCTAACTTTCTGTGTTCAACGGTGATTTCACCTCTTTGAATGACCTCAGTTTGAAGAAATTGAGTTTATTTCTGGTGAGATTGACAAGCTAACAGCTAGTCCATGTAGTGCAAGGCCAAAAAGGATTATGCAAATCATGTTTTATCTTTCATTATCATTTATTTCACAATCCAGTGGAAATGTTATGTAATTCTTGCTAGACATGACCCATGCTGCTCCAGAACCGCTTCAGCTAGATGCTGCTGCTATATGAACAACCGTAAACATTTATGAGTATGTTATTTACTTTACTGTAAGGGCATATAACGTATAGCAATCATGTAAATTATTGTTTTTCTTGTTTGTTAGATGCCACCTTTGTCTTATGCTTATTCAGACTAGCCATTACCTCATCAATCTGGTTCAAAATATGCATATACTTATTTGTTTTCAGTGTTGTAGACAAATCACCATCTCTTGAGTCCTAATTATGCTCAAGCTCTTAGTGTTCAAGTCCAACTGACATAGCATTGTTCCAATTAGATTCCAAGTCAAGTCACTAGGCCCTTCGGGACATGTCCAACCACTAATTGTTACATTTGCACCCAAAAAGTGTCATATGGCCATTGCTGGAATTAGCATGTAGCAGATGCTACTGCTAGCTCATTATATTAGGTCAGATTACTGGGCAAAATTTTAACAACCACAACTTCCGTAAGCCTGACAGGCGCGTTGCAAGCTTTTCAAAAGTGTGGGGGATGTTGTCTGTGCCTAAAATAATTTTCTGTTATTCACCTTGTTAGTTTAATTTCCATAATAGCGGAGCAGTTGCGAATTTTAGACGCGTCACGCATGTCTCCGTTTTAAACATGTTTAAACTGTTCAGAATACAAATCCAGGCTCTGTCTCGTTAGATTGGTGTAACTAAAGTTTGTACTGAATGAAACTTTACATTAAACCATGTTGAAAAGAAAAGGATCCGATTAAATTGTTTCCCCCTCATTTACAGTCACGGAGTACAGTGCAGTGCACACGGCTCTGGGGTTAATCAAGTTTAGTTGTTTCTCTTTGCAACAAGCTTCACAAGAAGGCAAAACAGTTAAATGGCAGGTTACAGATATTTCCATTTGACTGTTTATTTTGATGGATAAACTCAAGGATGTTGGTTGTTTTGAAAGAATTACCCCGACGCACACTGATACAGATGAGCTGACATTTTAATCTTCAGTGGTTTAATCAGTGTGCGTCGTGGCATGGCAGTTATTTGTTGGTTTCAAATTTTTGGAGCACTTTTTATTGTTTTGCAAAATGCCATACTGGGTTGGCTTGGCTATAGCATAGGGGCATTGAGTTGTCCCAGTACTGTCTTTTATTGTTCTGCATATTGTCTATCTGGTACTACTTTTTGCTTATTTTGACAAAACATCTGCCCAATGTGTGGCACACGTGGACACTATCTGCATGTTGAATACGTCAAATGGTGGAACTCAAGTCCAAATGCATATCCATGCAGTATATATACATATAGGGCATGTATGTATGTATGTATGTATGTATATGTATGTATGTATGTATGTATATGTATGTATGTATGTACATACAAATAATTATATATATATATATATATATATATATATATATATATATATATGTGAAATATTTAAATAAACACAAACACCCCCTTTTGTAAAACCAGGGAATAAGACAAATGAAAAGTAACCATCAGATTTTCTCCAAGAACCACCTTCACTGTCTTGAATAAGCTACAATATTTAAAACCAGAACTACCCATTTTATTCAAACCTAAATGTTGCAGTGTGCCCTGTAGTTCTCATTCTTTAGGTTCGTGCCTGAGCTGAATATGTGCTGATCTCTTGGTCAGATCCCCAACCAGGGCAGCAGTGTGTCCCAGCAGCAGGTGACGGTCCCTGGGCCGGCGAGAGCGGCACTGCACCTGTGCTCCGGAGGCTGAAGCAAAACAGGGAGCAGAGAGATTCCCGCATTCGGGCATCAGCACTCATCATCAGCCACGGAGACTTAAAGCACACTCAGGAACAAATACCTAATATATCTACCTAATACCTGATACAGAAATGCACTCTGTCTGTGGTCTTTCACTGACACATCAGGAAACCTCTGCCTTTAAATAAAATACTGTTCTCTCTGTGTGTTTGCTTTATTCACCTTGGTGCAGCAGATAAAGTATGGCGCAAACACACATTCGGTTTCACATTTATGGTTTCAGGATGTCAAAGTAAATAAATTTCAACTGCCATTTAACCCAGTTTGGAGAAAAAAAATTTGTCGCGTGACAAAGAGAGCAAAGTTTTTTCTAGTTGTATTTAAAATCCACTCACCTTTGTGGCGATCTAAGTGCAAGAAAACAGAGCCATTAAAAAAACACATTTATGAATACCCACTCCCACTTTTCTCTCACTGTCTTTCTCCTGAAGCGTGCTCTGGCAGTAGGATGCGAGCTGCACATTAACGCCGTCACACCCAGAGCCCAGAGGTGTCGCTGAGATAAGAGCCTCAGGTGATCTGCAGCCTCCCAACTGAAAGTTTTTTTTAAATGCAGCAGGTCTCCTTTTGTTTTCTCACCTCTGCACAGAGGCTGCATTCATGTGTGTGCATGGATGAATGAGTGCACGCACCCTCACCGTTCGCCGTCCATCTATCTGCCTTTCTGCCTTTGCTGAAAGCATTTGAAGAAAGGGTGAAATTACTCTCACCTTTAGCTCTGACACCATTTTAGTGTCCTCACACGGTTTCACATTATATATTTAGGTTGTTTAACACCTTACTGGATGGCTTGCCTTTTCACTCTACCTCGAATCCATTTTTCATTGTATGTGTCCACAGTCTTATATGATTTTGGATTTAAAAGTGTGTGCTACCCACTCTCTTTAATGAAATCTATGCATGTTTGTGTGTGAGAAGTTCTGAGTAAGACACGGTTTAATGTAGAAACTATAGGAGGAAAACGGTGCTGACCCTGTAGGTAACAAAAATATTTTGAGTTTAATGGATAACGAATTTTAATTTAATCTAACTCAAGGTTTATGAGTAGAATTTATTAATAAATTTAATTTCTAAAGACGTAGTATTTTGTTTTGCATCTGAAAATGTTTGAGTTATGGGAACTTTTTAGGTTTACAGTGTGGTAACTAAAATATTTTGAGTTGATTGGATGAGCAATTTTAATTTAACTTCAAATGTATGAGTAACATTTATTAAGAAATTTTATTTGTGAAAACTTTTCAGTATCAAAACTCAAAAAAAATTGAGACAATTGATTGCCTCAAAATTTTTGAGTTCTGGGAACTTATTCGGGTTTACAGTGTAGGGACAACAAATGCTCAATAAAATGTAAAATGACATAACATTTGAGAGGATATATAAAGAAAATACTGAACTGACCCCTTGTGAAAGAGATATTTTCCTCAATGCTGTCAAAAAAGCTACATTTACAAAAGATCGGTGAAAAAAATGAAGACCCTACATTCCTTAAAAGAACTGGAAGCCATCTGTTCATAAGCTTAGGCCAGAACACTCCGTTAGACCTCAAACTATGTGTTGCAAATGCCTCTTTGTGCAACATCTGTATACGTCTGACTGAATTATGGCCTTGTTTGTGTTTTCTAATGCCAATTAGCCTTAGCTGCTATATTGAGTTGGATTTAATTGAATCATCCAGTGATGACTTCCTGAGGATTTCAACAAAACCCATTCAGTAATTCATGATATTTTTTGTTCAGAATCAGAATCAGAAAGCTTTATTTGTCCCAGAGGGAAATTAGAGTTTCAGTACACACAATTCAGAGATCAGACATACTGGGCACAAGACACATGACAAGAATTGGTGACTGTGGTCATTCGCAACCCGAGAGCATGGTTCCTTGCTAAACTGTTTTTTACTTATTTTGAAACATGATTGGTCACTTTTTTACATGCAAGCCGAATGGGAAAATAGTCTTCTACCCAGCATTAGCTACTGATAGAAAATCTGATGACTCTTCAGCTGTCACTTAACGTTCATGGACTCACCCATCTTGGATAGTGATGGGGTAGGCTGTAGTTTGTTTAGTGTCCAGGAAACAGCAATGTCTCAACTTGTAGAAGCTAACTGTTAACAGTAGCAACTCCACCACATGGCAGAACTCCTTCAGGCTTGAGGTATTTTGGAGATGAAAGTCATGTTGCTGTTATCCAGTCAGAGGACAGATGTCCAAATGTCAAGAACAGTAATGAGACTCCAAATCCTGCCCCATGCGGCTAACTTCTACTTCCTGAAACAGGAGCGCCAGAGCTGTTTTTCCTCACGGATAACTACTCAGAAGGCATTCATTTATACTAAAGACTACTGCAAATGTGTTGAAAAAAAAAGGGAGAACGAGAGCTTTAAATATCCTTCAATACACAGGCAAAACATTGTCACTCGCCTTTCTGCTGGGGAGGTGCTCAAAACAGATAAATGAACATTTTTCCAGACAAGAAAGACATTCGCTAGTTAGACATTATGCACACACTCCTTTTAAATATATATATATAAATCTAATAAATGTGTTTGTAAATAAGAAAAAATGTATCTGTGGGGAGACATTTCTATTCTGTGCACATATGTTGTCTTGCAATGTTATCATTATAGCCCAAAAAAGGAAAAACACTATTCTTACTTACATCCGTTATTATGAGGAGCATTTAGAACCATTTAAACTTTGCAGATCCCGTTAGACATCCAGAAAACAGATTTATTTATTTTTACTAATTAAAAATGTTCTTTGAAAATGTAACTGAAGCTTTTGACCTCTTAACTTACTTTTAGATCATTTGTGTCTGTCAGAATGTCTTAAAATGGGAGAGGTAAGTTAATAGAGGGTGATTATTGAATGGGAAATTTTTAAACATTCAGACATCTGTGTATTCATATCTTAAAAAGGAGGTGGAAATTTTGTCTTATAACTAATATGATTAAAGACCTTGAGGACCAAAAGAAGAAGGGAAAACATTAAGTTTTGCTCTTGAATACCAACAAAAGAAGTAAACTGTGAAGCACATTTTAATAAAAACTGACTGAATTTCCCTTGCTCTATTACATTCAAATTACCGGGCAGTAGGTCATTAACAAATTAGTATTTTGATTTAAACTTTGACATAAAGAGCCAACATTTGGTCCTAGTAAATATGCTTGTTCAGACAAATACCGAATATAAAATGTTTCTGTATTCCTCCCAAAATAAAATCTCGGGGACCTCTTGTTAATATCCTAAAGAAGGCAACTTCCTTCTGCAAGCTGAAATCCCCTTGAGTCACAGTGAAGTTTTCAGTGATTTATTGACCTGCTGTCTGAGATTTGTTCCTCCATGTAGACAAACAAGAAGCACAAGTTGCAGAGGGAGCTCTGTTAGCTGTCAGTCCATTTATGATTTCTTTAGTAGAGATTATTTTTCAAACCAGAACCATCTGAACTCAGATGTAAAGTGCAGGTTATTGACAGCAGTGTTACACACGACTACGACCATTTGTTCATTCAGAGCCAAATTGCGATTCAATAATATCTGAACCTGGAGAGACTGGCACATAATTTGAAAGAAGCAAACATTTTTTTAAGGTGAAGTGACACCTGAATTTCACGTGTGTTTTGCCTGACATGGTGCAGGTTGTCAAAAATAATCTTAAATCAGTTTCTTTCTATTTACTGTGCCTGACATGTTGCAGGATTTTATTTTCTACAGCAAATAGGCCCCATTGAAAACAACCAAAGGCAAACCCATCATAGCAGCTTTTGGGGAAAATTACTTCACTTCTCTTGAGCACTGACTATAAAAAGATTTGCATTGACTTCAGAAAAATAGCTTTTTAAAAAGTAATCAAAACAGAAGATCACTTAAAAAAGTTTATAAGAAATTCTGGTTGCTTGGAATGAAAACACACAGAACTGTTGAGTCAACACTGCAGACTGTCTTTGGCGAAGACGTCAATATTAACTTGTGAAGTGTGTGTAACGTGCTAGATTGTAACTATTTTCATTTCAAACATATAAAAGAACTACATAATTAAAGGTAATAAAATAAACATATAAAATGTAAAATCTCAAAATTATAATAAAAATTTAGTTGGCTACTTTTTAATAGAAACACAAGAACAACGATGATAGAATAGTAGTGATGACAATTCTATTTTCCAACTGATTTAAATTTGTATTAGTATCTTTTCATTAATAATAAAAAACGTTTAGCAAAAAAATGTCTTCATGTATTTAAAGAAAAATAAAACAATAGTTGACCAGCCTAAAAAAATCTAAATCTAATGGTGCAGTTCTCTCTGCTAACGCCGGTGGCGCTGTAGTAAAGCAGCGCTGTTCAGACCTGGAGGAAGTCCTTCTTTGCTGCTTTCCTCAGCTTGTGCCGAAAACACGGCGGAAAGACTCAGTTAGCAGTCAGCTAGCTGATTCCTGTCATATTTCTTTTACTCTGTGTGCGGTGGCTTATGCAAAGAGATGTGGTTTATTTATTTACTGAGCTGGCTGTCGTTGGTCGTCCAGATATCCTTCATAACATTAGCGATAGGTAAGTTTAAAGCTGTAAATCTGTACAGGTGCTAACGAACGGGCTCGTTAATGCTAACGCGTTCAGCAGGTCGAAGGTTTGCTGGGAGATTCAGCTCCGTTACACAACTAGTGTTTCCGGAGATATTTATTTTTATAGGTAAAAGTTGTCTAGCTTATGCATACGTGTAGCTTCCCTTTCTACCCTGCCTTGAACTCACGTGAGACGTCGCTTCGCAGCGATTATTAAATACTAATGATTAACCAACACAGCAGCCAAAGTGTCACCACTCAACACCATGATGACATAGTTAGTTACACAGGACTATTCAGTCTTACCAACTTTTAAGCTTGAGTAAATCAGTGTGTTTGGATTTCAGACTGGTTTGGATTGAAGGACATGGATCAAGTGTCAATAAATATCATTGTCAAAGCAAACAAAATAAACCTGAGAGTCTGTCCACGTAGCAGATTGTAATTTGTCTACATAGCAGCTGCTGCACCTGACAGGTGTGTCTGTCCCTCCCATTTATATTCTAATGACCATAAATTATGAATGCATAAAAATACAAAAACGTTGTAATTTTTCCTAGTTCATGCATTTTGCTTCTCTGTGTATTGGAGCCAGTTTTATTTTTTAATCTTAACACTAACTGACTTAAGGTACACCCATTGACATATATACACCCTAAAAATCAGCTGGTGAGTTTTCCTCTCCACTGTCGCTAAATGCCTGCCTAGTATGAGGACTGCTGTAAAGACACTGACACCAGTCAGTGACTCGATGCAATCTGCTGGTTTCCCTATACAGGAAACTTTTTACTGACTGGCTTAATGACCTGACCTGTATTGGAATGTTTACTGTGTGAAGGTCCTTGAGACGACTCCTGTCCTGATTTGGCACTTTATAAATAAACTTGAATTGAAATTGAATCAGAAAAATTCAGCATGATCAGCCTAAAAATTAGTCAGTCAGAAGTTTAAAGATTTAAGATGTTTATTTACTTTAAAAATGGTTTTGATCTGTGACAACACTAATAACCTGCAGCTACATAAAAATAAGGAACATTTGACATTCTAGCAGTTTATGAACCCACCATTGCTAAATGCTAGTTCACGCAAGCAGTGACAGATGTGTGTGGAAGTTTTTTTTCTGCTGAAAATGAAAAAAGTCTGAAACTTTATAAATAGAAATTGTGGTGATCTTCAGAACCAGAGTTATTAATATTTCTAACCACCAGTACTAAGTCTAGAAAATTATCAAACACTCTATTGTTCTTACACTTTCAATGTTGCAACATTTGGGGTAGTTTGTATTCATCAAAGTAAAACTTAAAATTTGTTGTACATTTATTCTTGTAAATAAGTCAAAACTCAAATTCTACATGAATACTGTACTTGACACTGTCATGTTGTTAAAGTATTTTATTTTGAAAATTCTCCCATTGCCAAAATAATATTACTGTAGTTCACACACTTGGCTCTACTCTGAAATATATTTCCCCAAAGTGTTGCTATAAAATGATGGAAGTTTGATAAAAATGTGTAAAATATGTTGTCTTCTTTATTTTCTAAACTTGTTTTTACTACATATGTTTGTATAGTAACTCATCAGAACATGAATCTTGAGAGTGAATACACTCAAGTCTATTACTATATTACTGTCTACTCTATTACCCAGTCTTTCCACTGGATGCGTAAACGACACGTGACAATAGGAGCATTTTCTCCATCAGCTCAGCAGCGTGTCCCTTCCCACCAGCAGCATTTCATTCGCAAAATCAACAGCAAAAGCATTCCTTGCAGTTGTTCCTGGACAGTCATGAAATCACCAGAGAATTGCGAGATCTCGTGATTTCGGCAAGCAAAGAGAAAGATGGCAGCGTGTGTCCACAAAGCTCTGTGGTTCATTATCTCCACTATGGAGGTTCCAGAGGTAATGACCTAATTCTTTTACTAGTTAAGCAACTGGACATCTGCACGTTACTTTTATTTTGAAAGTTTCCATATGTCTTTTATTGCTTTCGTGTTTGACTTCCTGTCTGGCCCAATTTGAGCTGCTGAGCCTAATGTGTTCTGGAAGCATTGCTCATGAAAAATAGACTCAAGTGTAAATTTTGCAGAGCGACGCGTCACTACGCGTTTGGGACGTGCCCAAAACGCACCAAATGACTATGACGGCGGCTAACTGCTGCATACTATGCCTCGGGGATGTTACATGATGCTTACATGTCTGGTGGAAAGGCCTTGTAACTGTTGTTACACAATCGTAGACTTTTGCTGTTTACCTTCTCACCTGCTGCCCTCTTCACCCAGCTGCTGGCCTCTACTACCTGGCTGAACTAATAGAGGAGTACACAGTAGCCACCAGTCGAATAATAAAGTACATGATTCTGGTGAGTAAGTGATGATAGAAGGACGTGACACCAATAGTTGTATCGCCGCTGTCTCATTATGTTTAAATGTGTCCAGTTCTCGACAGGTGTGCTGGCAGGGCTCTATCTTTTTGAAGGATTCCCGCTCTTTATGGTGGGAGTTGGCCTCTTCACAAACCTGGTATACTTTGGCCTCCTGCGGACATTTCCCTACATACTTCTGAGCTCCCCGAACTTCATCCTCTCCTGTGGTGAGCTCAACACAAAGTTGCTTGAATATTTTCTTCTGCTTATCTGTCGACAACACACCCATCCTGTCCTTGTCCTGAGTTTGACTTGTGTTTGCACCAACAGTGTTGGTGGTGGCGAACCATTACATGGCCTTCCAGTACTTTGCACAAGAGTATTATCCATTCTCAGAGGTAACTCTTTCTCACATTTATGCCACGTACCCATGCTTTGAGAGCGTGGGAAGAGTTTGTGCCTAAATGATTGTTTCTTGTCTAATCCGTCCCTGTCTGCCGTTAGGTCCTGGCTTACTTCACCATCTGCCTGTGGGTGATCCCCTTTGCCTTCTTCGTGTCGCTATCTGCAGGAGAAAACGTGCTTCCATCCACCATGCAGCAGGGAGGTGAGAGTTATGCTGACATCTGTCCTGCTTTGTGACACAAAGGGTAGAAGTTAAAATGCTGTGTATGTTTAAGTGATGAGATTTTCAGTGTGACTCGGTTTGTGTTCTTTTGTGTGCATCAACTTTTGTCTGAACACATTCTTCCTGGAATGCTCGGTGCTATTACAATATGTTGATCAGTAGAGGCTGGGATTCCTATTTCCCAGTTTTATTTCTTACCGCAAGGCTTCAAGTGGCCCTAAAGGTGTGGGACACCCATACATTTGTAGTGGTCTCTAGTAGGAATGGATGTCTTGTGAGTCACCAGTTCCTTGTAGATGAACAGATGTGATGTGGTTCCTCCATTTCAAGAAGCATTAACACATTTTGCTACAGTTATTGCTACTCTATCGTTTTACTCTTGTTCACACAAACATGAGACTAGAGATGGCATTATTATAAAGTGTTTAAAGGAAATACACATTTAGATGATATTAATTAGCAGTGATGGGAAAAACGCAGTTTAAAATAACGGCGTTACTAACTGTGTTCTTTTTTTGGGTAACTGAATATTCTAATTACTTTTCCCACTGTTGCAACGCGGTTACCGTTACTGGGGACGGAAGGTTGTGCGTTACTATGTGCTTGTCGAACGTTGAGCAACAGCGTGAGGCTTTCTGACCGCCACACTTCAGCTGCAGCCAGGGAGAGAGAGGTGTCGGTAACACACTTACAAACATGATGATGATTGGCCGGGTGGGTGGAGACCCTCAGTGAAGAAGAAGAAGAAAATATCATTTCTATAGCGCCTCTTAAGTTAAAATCACGAGGCGCTTCACAAAAACAAAAAATGTAAAAATATTAAAAAAGAATTTAGAAAATTGTTAAAAATATATTTAAATGAGCAAAAAATGATTAATTGTGATAAAAAAATGTTAACAAAGAAAGAGAGTGAATAGGAAAGAGGGAAATCAGTGGATCCTGAGGAAGGTGGAATAGGTGGGGAGAGCAGAATAAAGAGAGAGTGGTGAAGAAGGTCATACAAAAGCCAGATTGAACAAGTGAGTCTTCAGCTGTTTTTTAAAGGAGGCCACTGAGTCCACTGATCTCAGGCTCAGGGGGAGAGAGTTCCAGAGTCTGGGGGCCACAGCAGCAAATGATCTGTCACCTTTGGTCTTTAGCCTGGTGCTGCACAACCAGTAGGCTTTGATCACTGGACCTCAGGGACCTGCTGGGGGTTTAGGGACTAAGAAAACCACCAATGTAAGATGGTGCTTGTCCATGTAAGGCCCTGTAGACCAGAACCAGGATCTTGAAATGAACCCTGAAGTTGACTGGCAGCCAATGAAGCTGGAGGAGAAGCGGGGTGATGTGGGTGTGTTTGGAGGACTTGGTCAGAAGCAGAGCACAGGCATTCTGAACCACCTGTAGACGGTTCAGGGAGGTTCTGCTCAGATACGTGAAAAGAGAGTTACAGAAGTCTAAGCGTGAGGAGATGAAGGTGTGGATAACTGTCTCAAGTTCAGAGCGGGACAGAATGGGACTCAGCTTAGCAATGTTCCTGAGATGGAAGAAGGAAGAGCGAACAAGAGAACTGACATGAGAATCCAGGGTGAGAGCTGGGTCAAAGGTCACGCCAAGATTCCTGACAGAAGGTTTGGTGTGAGAAGCAAGCTGACCAAGAGAGTCTCTGACTTTGGGAACCAGCTTGTCTGGGGCACAGACGAGGATCTCAGTCTTATCTTCATTCAGCTGAAGAAAGCTCCCAGCCATCCAGGGCTGTTTGGATGTTCTCACTGTCTCAGTCACTGCATGCTGTAGACACAACAGAGCAGTGATGGGAATAAAGCCGTTTAAAATAACCGCGTTACAAAAAAAAAAATATATATATATTTTTTTCAGTAACGAGCAATCTAATTAATTACCATCTTTTATCAAAACGTTGTTTCTGTTACTGATAAGAAAATGCGTGTGTTAAGCAGCGCGGTGTGTTGAAGCTGTCATCAGCTGATCAGGAGCTAAAGAGGTAGATGTTTTCATCCAAGCGCGTCACGGCCCGTGAAGAATATGGCAAGCCGGTCGGATCACTAATCACCCACTTTTAAAAATGTTAGGATATTTAATGGTGTCGATAATAATATTACTGTTATGGCCGATAACCAATATTTACCGATACCGATATAATGATATTAATGCTTCTCAAAACAGTAGATTTTGTATGGAATGAGAATGATTAGGGCTAAATTTACGTTATTATGTACACACACACTTACGCTTCTGAAATGATTACAATCACTGTCACATGACTGAACAATTACACATATCTCAAAACATTTACCTCAGATCTGTTATATTTTCATATTTTGAGAGAGAGGAGAAGTAGCTGAAGAGTTCGATGTATATGTATATAGTATGTAAAAGTTGTCTGTTGTTAGCACCGAGAGCCGTAAACTATACAAACAACTGTTTTCTGGTCCACATTGGCCTTCCTACGTCCAAACCACATGCATTAAACAGAAGTTGCCTCTATTTTAGGTACAAGCTCCTCTGTTTGGTCGGCAGGCCATCCTGTTAAAAATAAACCTGATCTGAACTGCATCTGTTACCGTCTTCCTCCATGTTTGTTTATGCATGGTTAGCATGCATTGGCATGCCGTAAGGTGCATCTTGACATAACATACTACCACAAAACACCTAACCGTGGTGTAAATCAGAGCTTCATATAAAATAGAAGTTTTCTGTCCTACAGGTGAAATATTTAGTCTTATCGCCCAGCCCTACAAGCACATATTCTTTATGTTGTCATGTTTAATCCTGTCCCTCCCATCCGTGGACATTTTCTTCTTGTTCAGTTGTTTCCTGTATCTCGTTCAAACAGCGGCCGGCTCCGGACTCTAATTGGTTCTTCTCTCATCTAGTCCCTCCTGTTTCATTTGCTGATTGGTTTCCTCACATCTTTTCCTTCTGATTGGGTTTTTGTCATTGTCAACTTTTGTCTCATCTAGTGTATGTTGACGAAAATGGCGTATGATCTATTTTAGTCGTTGTTTTAGAATTCATCCAAGTTTTTTTAGTCATCGTTTTGTTTATACAAGTCAGTGTAGGTACTGGTCAGAGCGGGTCAGTTCAGGTGCAAACACAACACAGGGTCATGTGACTGTAACGTGACGGAGGAGCTGTTCTACCGAAGGTTGCTTACCCTCTTTCCTCAGGAAGAACTAATCTGCATGAGACTGCCTCAAGGTCATGCATTTGCTTCTAAACTGTTTCCTTTCCAGCTCAAGAGAAGAAAGAAGACTAGGGCTGCAACAAAAGATTATTTGGATAATCGATTAATCGGATGGGGTCTCGACATGATTAATCGATTAATAGGATTACATGGGGAAATTTTTAAAAACTGCTAGGGAAACGTTATTTCTCTCCTTCCTTCACTTTATTTAACACAACATTATTAGAAAACAGTTCAATAGCAGAAAAACAACATGCCATCACCTAAATTGTCTTATAAGGTGTATAGACAGAGACCCTAAGCTACATCTATCTGTGACCTAAAATGCTTGGTCCAAGTTAAACAGCTTAAGGGCAATTCTCATCTGTTTTGTTTGATCTCATCTGTTGACATTTATTTTAAATGTAATTAAACATAGGCTGTGAATTAATCAAAATTGATCACTATTTCCAAAACTGACTGAAAAAATACCAAATAAAACAAAAGTAAATGAATGCCATCCTCCTTGCGATGATGCCCTGGGCAACTGCCATAAAGTCACATCAAGAAATGCTGCTGATCATTCCAATGATCCCAAATAGACTCACATTAGGCCACATGAAAGCAACTGAACCCAAAAATATATTAACCAGTATATAACTGCACTCTCACACAACACGCCTGCAGCAACAGTTAGGACTCCTCCCTCCCTTTTAAAAGCGTTTTTGCTTCTGAGGACATTGTGGTTGTAAAACCACATGCTAGTAGTCTGGCCCCGGTGTGATCAACCAGTTTCTGCGGGAATGTGACGGCGGAACCAGGGCCAGATTAACACTTTGTTGTACCCTGGGCAACAATATTCAAGGGCTCCATCATCACGACCCAAGGATCACCATAATGTGGTCACATACAGAATATTTTACTGTAATATGCAGTAAATATACTTAATAATTGAATGCCTGACAACACGTAACCCGCCCAGAGTAACCTTTGACCCACCTCGTGTGGACTGACCAATGAGGAGAGGGTCTTAACTTGAGGCCCTCTCTTCATTGGTCAGTCTGCATGAGACTGACTCTCAACTGACGTTCAGTCGTAGGCAGCGAAGCGTCTCTGTGCAGCGCAAAAGCCCGGGTGGACAGTTTGTTTAATATAGGGTGACCATATTTCCATTTCCAAACAAGAGGACAGGGGATCTGTGCCTATGACGTCACACTACGGCAACGCCACACAAACCATGTTGGGACCCATTTTTTGTAAGAACTAAATTAATATCAGATTCTGCCAATAAAAGGGCTCTAAAACAATTCATATGTAAATATCTTGCATATTTAATGCAAAATCTAATTTTTCTGCTTTAGTGCTGCAACAAGGTTTTATTAATAATACATTATTATACCTTTTGTTTTACTACAGCATCGGTAAGCTTCCTGTGCACAGATTATTAAGGATGCTTGTTTCAGCTGTGAGATTAGACGATAGGGTCAATGAAAAAATAAGTTGTCACACACTCCATGGAAACTTTCAGAGAATCCACAAATAGTGGCTTTCAAATGGTTTTGTTACTTTTTGCAAGTTTATAAAAGAAGCTGATGAGACAGCATGTCTGATAATTTAGTTTTTCATCTGATATATTAGAACATGTCAGTAATGTCTGAGGGGCTTTTACAAACACTGTATAACTAATACTCCTGGAGAGGGCATGAATTACACAGAGGCTTCTGGGGAGCCCAGTTATTGGGGGAGGGGCATTTTGCCTTGGCCCCCAAAATGTCTTGAAACGGCCCTGGGTGTGTGACTGAGCTTTAAAGGTGATCTGAATTGTATCAGATGTATAAATATGACATGTGTAGAACTTATTGTTTTTTACTGGTAAAAACGTGTAGTGGAGATTAATCTACCTACATTTTACTTTTCAACACTTTGTTTTGTTTTCTTGTTTTTATTTAACTATTTTCCTGTCCTGTCTGTCTCTCATCTTCCTGCATCTCCTCTTAATTCTCCAGAAAATCTGTTGCCTGGATTCTTACCTTTTCACTTCATCAGTTACTTTTGAGCAGATCAAAGGGATCTCCTGACCGAAAAGCTCAGAGCGCGTTTTCGATGCTGCGTGAGGTGACATCACCACAGCACAGGTGATGAGCTCCGCAGTAGCGAGCTTCAGGCACAAATAAGACAGAAAATAGAGAACATGTGCGGACAAGAACGATCGTGTGCTAATTATAGTTTTTTGGTTGCGCCACTTTGAGAATGGACCGTGCGCTGGAAGCAGCTGCCTGGATCGCTGTGCAACAATGCGGAACCGGTTCGCAGCAGCGCAAGTCTGCCGGCTCTCCCTCAAGCTGATCTGCGGCTCTCCCTCTCGCTGATCTGCGGCTCTCCCTCGCGCTGATCTGACTTGCTCTGGTCTGCGCGCAACGGCGGGCGGGAAGGGGGGGCGCTTTTGGAAGAGTTGTGCGACACAACGAATCGATGACGCAATTCGTTGCCAACGCTTTTAGTAATCGATTTTCGTCGCCGTCGTCGTCGTCTTCCTCTGCTTATCCGGGTCCGGGTCGCGGGGGCAGCATCCCAACTAGGGAGCTCCAGGCCGTCCTCTCCCCGGCCACCTCCACCAGCTCCTCCGGCAGGACCCCAAGGCGTTCCCGGACCAGATTGGAGATGTAACCTCTCCAACGTGTCCTGGGTCGACCCGGGGGCCTCCTGCCGGCAGGACATGCCCGAAACACCTCCCCGGGGAGGCGTCCAGGAGGCATCCTGACCAGATGCCCAAACCACCTCAACTGGCTCCTTTCGATCCGGAGGAGCAGCGGTTCTACTCCGAGTCCCTCCCGAATGTCCGAGCTCCTCACCCTATCTCTAAGGCTGAGCCCGGCCACCCTACGGAGGAAACTCATTTCGGCCGCTTGTATCCGCGATCTCGTTCTTTCGGTCATTACCCAAAGCTCATGACCATAGGTGAGGATTGGGACGTAGATCGACCGGTAAATCGAGAGCCTGGCTTTCTGGCTCAGCTCCCTCTTCCCCACGACAGATCGGCTCAGCGTCCGCATCACTGCAGACGCCGAACCAATCCGCCTGTCGATCTCCCGATCCCTCCTACCCTCACTCGTGAACAAGACCCCGAGATACTTAAACTCCTCCACTTGAGGTAGGACCTCTCCCCCGACCCGGAGGTGGCAAGCCACCCTTTTCCGGTCGAGAACCATGGTCTCAGATTTGGAGGTGCTGATCCTCATCCCAGCCGCTTCACATTCGGCCGCGAACCTACCCAGCAAGAGCTGAAGGTCAGAGCTGGATGAAGCTAGGAGGACCACATCATCCGCAAAAAGCAGAGACGAGATTCTCCTGCCACCAAACTCGACACACTCCACACCACGGCTGCGTCTAGAAATTCTGTCCATAAAAGTGATGAACAGAACCGGTGACAAAGGGCAGCCCTGGCGGAGTCCAACCCTCACTGGGAACAGGTCCGACTTACTACCGGCTATGCGGACCAAACTCACGCTCCTCTGGTAAAGGGACTGAATGGCCCTCAGCAGAAAGCCACCCACCCCATACTCCTGGAGCGTCCCCCACAGGGTGCCCCTGGGGACACGGTCATAAGCCTTCTCCAAATCGAATTTATCGATTTGTTGTTGCAGCCCTAAAGAAGACGAACACTTTCTTTTAATAAATCAGAAGAACTCTATTTTTAATAAAGCTAATCAAACAAAGTGTTGGCCAATAATAAAATGTGAACCAATCTGTGAAATGAAAATATTAATTACTTGATATTATAATCCTATAGAATATAATAAGTAATATACCTTTAAATATTTCCACTAGAGACTAATCACACGTAAGGTTAAGCCACAGGACACATTTCCTTTTTCTGACTCATTCAGAACCTTCCAGGTCCGACGGAGGTGTGGTTTTGGTGGTGCTTGGTAAATCTGTCCTCTTTTGATTCGACCGTAAATCAAAACATCCAAATTATAAAACTATGCCCACGTCACCTTAAACTTCAGTTCAAAGCTTTCTAGAGAAGGTGTCGGAGTGGCCAATCTGTAATTTTTCTCTTCAGCCGAAAGAACCTGACGACAAGCTGGATAAAATCTGTTGCTGTTCCACCTGCTGCAATGGTTCCTTTCAGAATAAAAGCTGAACCATCACGACCCCGTTTTGGGTCTTGCTAGATGCCAAAAAAACTGTCGTGACCTGGAAGTATCTCAAGACTGGTTTGGTCGGCAACCGCTGCTTTTCCTACCGGCTTCGGTTCCAGAGAAGGTCAAGCTGGACCTCGACATTCCTGATCTGACTCGGACTTCCGCAAAGGGTACGTAGGCCGGCAGAATGGCGTCTCAATGTGTGTTATGAAACTCCAAACCAAAAGCTTAGCGCGAAACATTATCTTCACTCCCATCAGAACTAATCGTTTCTCCGGATTAGCTGGTTCTGAACAACATTCCACACTACACCATTCTCAGTCTCACCTCACCTTAGTTACACCATACATTTAGTGTTTAAAGTTAGTCTAGTTTTAATTTGTTTAGTAATAAATCTTTAAACTTTTAAAACTTGACTCTTTCTTTTGTCTCTGAGTTAATACGAAGTGGTTACATAATCTCTGCAATAAAAAGTTCCAATCTTCTGGGTTTAAATTATCCAAAGGTCCATAAGATTGATTTCATAGTTCCTATGGAATCTCACATTTTATGGTTCATTAAATAATATGTAAATTTAATCGTTACATGACTGAAACAAAGCAGCTGGAGTGGGCAGGTCTACAATTGTCGTTCTTGAGTCTAACAGCAGAGGGGAAGAAACGGTTTTTGTGTCGAGAGGTTCTGGTCTGAATGTATCGAAACCCCCTGCCAGATGGGAGTGAGTCGAAGAGACTGTGTCCAGGGTGAGACGGGTCTGCTGTGATCCGACCTGCACGCCTCAATGTTCTGGAGGTGTACAGGTCCTGTATGGAGGGTAGTTTGCAGCCAATGACCTTCTCATTAGAGCGTACAACACGTTGCAGTCTCTTCTTGTCCCTGATGGTAGCTCCAGTGTACCACACGGTTATTAAAGAGGTGAGCATGGACTCGATGATTGCGGTGTAGAACAGCCTCATCGACTGTGCTGGCAGGTTGAATTTCTTCAGCTGCCTCAGGAAGTTCATCCTCTGTTGGGCCTTTTTTATGATGGAGATGATGGTGGGCTCCCACTTGAGGTCCTGGGTGATGGAGGTGCCCAGGAAGTGACATGAGTCCAACATTGTGATGGGATTGTGAAGACAGGGTTATGGGGGGGGGAGTGGGACTGTATGCTTCCTAAAGTCCACAACAACCTCCGCTGTTTTCTGGGTGTTTAGTACCATGTTGTTGTGGCTGCACTAGGACGCCAGCCGTTCAACCTCCATTCTGTAGGCAGACTCATCCCCGTCGGTGTCCGATGACGGTGGTGTCGCCTGTGAACTTAATAAGATGGACAGACTCGTGGTTGGAGGATCAATACAATGAATGCTGCTATAAAGCTTAAATAATAACCCACTTTCTTTTGTTCTTTCTCTTTTGTAGATGACGTGGTGTCGAATTATTTCACCAAGGGCAAACGGGGCAAGCGATCTGGGATCCTTCTCGTTTTCACTTTTGTCAAAGAGGCCGTTCTGCCCAGCCGACAGAAGATGTACTGAGGAGGAGCTCTGACTTTGACTGCAGCCTCGGAAGAGGTGCGGATGGAGATGTGTGTGTATGTGAGGTGGAGAACGGGGGGAAGCAGTGGACACCGCTTGTGAACGGGACAAAAACGTGGAAGAAGAGATCACTAAAAGGATGGACCAATGAACAGAGGAGCGCTTCCTGCTGGATGAGCAGATGAGCTCATCTTGTGTTTGTACCGACTGCCAACTGCACCTACCGGAGACCTGTCGGGGATCTTGTCTGTAGCACCATGCTTTTGTATTATCATGATGGACTTCATTTTAAAGCTTTAGTGTTGAGGCATTTGTAAGATGGCTAAAAAATGAACCAACAAACTCAATAATGGCTTGGGCAGGTAAATCCTTTTCAGCTTTCTTTTTAAGACTTTTTCTTGTCTTTCTCTCCTTTTTGTTTTTCTGATTTAATGAAGGAGGTAGCAATAATGCCAGGACGGCATGAGAAATCAAACCCTTACACATTATCTTCTGATGAGGAAAATGGGTTAGAAAACGATTCTCTAACGAATATGATGACTTGTTCTAAATATAAACAGACTGTGTCCTGCAACATACCACTACGTAAAAAGAGGTAATTTGTAGAAGTCAACCTTCCATTTAAGGAATCACTCCCATCCCGCATCACCAATATTTTGCAACAAAAACAAGTGTTTTGACGAAGCTTGTCCAGATTTCTTCAGTACTTTTACTAATCATCAGCGCTCTGTAGGGGCTCCTAGCCTGTCTTCTTTTGTTTTTTGGACAGTTTGAGAAAACATTCATAGTTAATAAAATAAAAGATTTTCTAGAGTGAACCCAACCTGCAAGGCACTCGTGCAATGACTTTGATAAGATTTCTGGTGTTGGGGGAATGAAAACAATAAAACTGACAGTTTTTTTACCAGTTACAATCATGTGTGATTTATCATAGACTGTGAGTAAAGGAGTTTGTTTAGATAATTTGTGGATTCTATTATTTTTTTAATAACATTTATAAAACATAAAGGCAAAATAAGTCTTCTGATTTTAATGACATAAGGCCAAAGCATCCTGTCCACCCATAAATTGCTGACCTTTAGTTACTCAGAATGTGTTTTTGTGTTTGAGGCGGTCCGACTGAATGGAATAATGTTATTCTAGTCCCATGTGGTTCAGTCAAAGAGGAAGCACCAGGTTTATATTGGTGTGCACTTTGACCCCCACTGAGGTGTGAAGTGCTTCACACAGTAAAGAAGAAAAAACAAGAACAAATCTACAAAGTCCACACACACTCACCTCCAGATGACAGGCCACAGCTCATGGTTCGCACTTTCACGCTGTTTACAAGCCTCCACCTGGATCCCAATTTGTTTCCCTGGGGGAGACGAGTGGAAGTGCAGGGATACAGCTGTGACAGGTGACCCAGTTCATGGAGGTTTCTCACCTTTCACTCACCCCTACGCTCTCCCTGAGTTTGTCAGATTAGCTTCTAGAGTTTGTGGTTTTTGAGTTTGATGCTTCGGAAATTATGCAACGTGGAGGTCAGAACAACAAAGAGCATGGTTTATATAGACTCCAGTCAGCCATATTGAAATCGCCTAAAGATTCAGTACAAACAGATCTGATCCAGCGAGGCGTACTGTGATAAGTACAAATGTGTTGAAATCAAATGTTTTGACTTTTGAGATGAGGCCCTTGTGCATCATAATTAGACTGACTCATGCTTAATCAAACTAGGGTTTAGGGAATTTAAAAGCATTTGAAGGGTTATCGCATCCTGTTGATACAATGTAGGAAAGTACTCCAGGTTTCCTATCATCTCTTTAAAAGTCAACTTCACTCATTTTTAAAATATATTTGCAATGGCCTTTAGTAGGAGTGAACGCCTTGTAAGTTGTTCTTTAGTAAAAGAAAAGCTTAGGTGCTCCTGTTTGAGGACACAGAAGCCAGCCGCAGAAGAAAGTTGCAGCAGACGGCCGGATTTTGGTCTTATTTCCTTATATTTGGACATCTCGCCTCTGATTTCTTCTTCTGGCTCTTGGAGAGTACAGACGCTTTTTTCCTTCTCCCTATCTTATCCCAGGGCTCTTTGTCTGTCTTTGGGTGTACGGTGCTTCTGCATTTTTTCTGGAAACTGGAAATTACTAAAAATGGATCTGGTCAGTTGGTCTCTCAACGCGACTGACAAAATGTTTTCAACGATGAGAACGGGAGAAGGGCCTCTGGGACAGAGCCAGCTGGGCATATCATGGACCTGATCTGCCTCTCTCAACTGTCTGTAGAGGATTCTGAAGACGTCTGGATATTCGTGGTGTTGGTGTCAGGTTTCCTGCTTTTTGGCCTGAGTGGTTACCTGGCTTTCCGGAAAATTAACGAGCTGTCAAGGAATATTGGCTTAATCCCGGAGCTCAGGGATGGATTACATTGCGCTGTGAATGCACAAACTCATATAATTGTCGAGATGAGTTGTAAGCTTGGGACTTTGGCTGAGATTCAGACTCTGGCACAAAAGGTGGATTCCATCAAGGAGCGAGTTGACGGGTCAGCGCAGATTGGGATAGATTAATTTATGACATTAATGGATTTAGAGGGGTTGAGGACCAACGAAACTTTAAGACAGAGAGGAAATTATCTCTGTCTGGCCCCAAAACAATTTCTTATCTGAAGCTGGTGCCCTTGAGCCTGTGAGGCTGAAGTGAATACTCCCCCTCAGAAGAAATGTGGAATGCTGCTGTAGCCATGGCAACTCTGTCTCCCTATCCCAGCCTGGGTGGGACTGCGACCGGTGAAGGCCGTTGAATCGTTCCAGGAGTCACTGTGCTCTCTAAACCCAACGACCTCCCCCCTGTCCAAACGGAGGTGATGAGCGCTGCTTATCGTGGCTGCATGCACTGATGTGTGGAGAGTCCCCAACCCTACCTCCCAACCTAGTGGACACTTATGTTGTATAATGTCTGAAGTCTGTTGCATGTCTGTATGAGGTGTTTTTTGCATAGCAAAGCTGCCCTCCCTGTTGAGGGTAACTCTGAAGTGCCTTTTTTTCCTCCACCTGACTCAGTCCTCATGTAAACCCTCTGATCTCTATTAAGGTAGCGCGACTCGGGTTGCGAATGGCCACAGTCACCAATTCTTGTCGTGTGTCTATGCCTATGTATGTATGTCTGATAATTGTGTGTACTGAAACTCTAATTTCCCTCTGGGATTAATAAAGTATCTTTGAATTGAATTGGCCAACAGCAATGCAACTCTACCACTGGCAATTGCTTTTCAACGTTGATGTTTTATCTCCACAAAAAACACAAGCCTGGAGGAGTTCTGCTGTGTGGTGGAGTTGCTAATTTTAACAGTTAGCTATCTGAGCCCTGCTGTTTCCTGGATGCTAAACCAACAACAGCCTTCTCCATCACAAGTCAAATGGGTGAGTCCATGACAGTGGGACGTAGATCTGTCAGGATTTTCTAATCCTAGAGTTTCACTGTCTTATTTTCTATCAGAAGCTAATGCAGGAGATAGGTGTAGGAGACTATTTTCATGTTCAGAATGCATGAAAAACTCAGAGTGGCCATTTATAATCAGAAATAATAAAAAATATGGTTTCTCAGTGAACCATACCTCTAAGCTATAAAAATGTATAAATGATTTGTTTTACATTGTTTATTTGTTGTCAGCTCTAATTGGAATTCCTTCAGCACCTACTCGGAAGCTCAGTAGTGACCTGGCTCCAGCACTTCAGCCAGGTGCATGGCCACCTCCGTCCAGGGGGAGGTGCTCCATCCCTGAGGACATCTTCGATGTTGGACCTCGTCGATGTTCAGTGGCTCAAAGCAGTGAGGCGTGGCGATCCTAGAAGGGAAGGCTCTGGGGAACAACACCCTCTCAACAACATCCAGAGGCAGGTTGGGGGTGGGACGGGGTGAACCCTCCCACTTAGTGACATACTGAAGCTTCTGGTTCCTCCTGTCCATCCACAATGTGACGCTGTCCCTGAGGTCTGGCTCTGTGAGGGGTTCCTCTGGTTGGTGGCCAATAAAGATGGACCAGGGACTGCTGTATGAGGCTGCTGGTTGTTTAGTGAAGGAGCTTTTGTTCTTCAGAGGGTCTCCTGGATGGTTCTTGGTTTGCTTTGGTTTAAAAGCACTCTGGTCTGGCAGGAGACACTGGCTGTGGTATTTGCTTGCCTGCACCCTGGGGGTCAAATCCTTCAAAAGAGGCAAGCCTTTCTTCTTTGCCCAGTCTGCCACTTTTTCATCAATGAGTGCCTTTTTTTAAGAAATGGAGAAATTATAATAAAAAAATCGTTTGGCCATTTTGAAGTATGTGTAAAAAAGTTATAATTGCGCTTACTTGTTATGAATTACATGACGATAATAGTAAAGTAATCAATTCAAAAATTAACAGCAGAGTTTGACTACATTTAACATCAGATATTATTAATAAGAATAAATATTTAGAAACAAATGGCAATAAATGTATTAAGTTACACTGACGGCTTCCTGAATGTCTTAAAAAAACAAAAACAGTTTTTTTCCGACTGACGAGCCTAATGAACCTACACCCAAACCTTCACACCAAAGTAAATTCTGTTTTACGGAAAATAAGAAATGACTGCCACCCATTTAAATGCTTGCTGTTCTCAAATTGGCTGCCTTCTCATCTAGCCTGGCCTGCCAGACTCCTCCTCTGTTTAATTCTGCACAGAGAAAGGGTCTGGGAACTCTCCTATTCAAATAACCCCACCCCGTGAGAATTCTAACCGAGCCAATCAGCGCTGATTAGCATACGTCACACACCATAATGCAGAGTTTGTCGAACATGGCGACTGAAGCGGAGTTCGCTGCGGCTCTTTCCTCTGTTCGAAATGACTTGGACACGTCTTTAAAACCACAAGTAGAAGCGCTAAAAGCCTTTCTTCTGAAGAAAGATGTTTGTGCATTTGCCATTTTTGACTACAGCTGAAAAACTGCAGCATCGGGGACGTCACACACAGCGACGCTCTGTTTCTCATAAACAACGGAGACAGCGGCGGAGTTCGCTGTGGCTCTTTCCTCTGTTCTAAATGACCTGAATGTCTTCAAAACCACAACAAATAGAAGCGCTAAAAGCATTTTTTCGAAAAAAAAAAAAGATGTTTGCGCCGTTGCCAGACGCCATTTTTTACTACAGCTAAGAAACTACGGTGTCGCGTGGTACAGTCGGCATTTCTGTCTTTTTTCTGATTGGTTACTTTTGAGCTGCCTAGTCCCGCCCCTAAAGTGCCTCTCTGCCTGTGAGTAACCAGACTCTTTCTCTGTGCAGAATTAAACAGAGGGGGAGTCTGGCAGGCCAGGCTACATCTCATCAGTCCTGTAAGATATAAAAGTTATTTCGCTGAACTAAGGCTGTTCAGGAGGCTAACAGGTAAGAGAACTTTTACACAAAAACACCCTTAAAAATGTCTGAAAATTCACACAGACGTATGATCTCATTTTATTTATCCATTACATTTGTTAAATTGTCTAAGATACATCTTGAAATGTTAACTCACCTGTCTACTGGGATCAGTCTGTTTGACTTTATTCATGAGGTCTCTGTATAATGCCTGAGCCAGTATCCTCTCCTCCAGTTCCCTCTTCTTATTAGCCTGCCACAGACTGGTTTTTAGATATCTACACACACATACACGCAAAACCCCCGAAACATCTGTGAATTTAAAATTAAACTGTTAGAAGTGCTAATATTTTGTGTCAATTAGCATAATACCTCGCTACTTTCCTGTGGCACAAGATGCGTGCCGTATCTAGAGGTGTAAGTCCCATGCTGTCCTTTGCCAGCACGTCTGCTCCTGCTTTCACGAGGATTTCTACACATTCCAGGAGGCCTTCTGAGGCAGCTAGGTGGAGTGGGGTCTGACCTGAATCAGTGGTGCTAATTAAAAATAAACAAATTAAGTTTTCAAGCATCACAACTATAACTTGTCACTATGGTTTTAAGCATTAAAGCCCCTACGCATTGACATCAGCTTCGTGCGCCAGCAGGTATCTGAGACAAGTGTGGGTGTTGGGGGATGCGTGGCATGACAGGGCCATGTGAAGGGGCTGGCGGCCCTGGGAATCACTGATGTTTACCCACCATGGCCTGGATTCCACCAGGACCTGCACAGTAGCCAGCTGCCCATGAACACAGGCTGCATGAAGAGCGCTCATGTACTGGAAGACAAATTATGCTACTTCAGAACTTTAAAGGATGTCCTCATCACTAATCCTTAATTGTAGAAAAATAAATAAACAAACATGTTTTCAGAAGTCTGTGACGTAAATACCTCGTCAGGCAACCCTGGGACCTCAGCAGTGACATCTGGCAACATCTGCTCCACCGATGGAGCCTTGGTGGGCAACTTCCTACAAGATGATATTACTTAGAAGCAGTACTAAGAGGTGAGGTGTAGAGAGTCAAAGAAAACACACATATACGGGCTAATTATCTAAGTTAAACGTGACTCTTAACAAATAGTTTGCTGAAAGCTGATAAAGTTGAGTTTTGAAGTGCTTCACAAAGTCACGTTCAAAGTTAAACACACAAACTACGGTAGTTTAAACTTCCACAGAAACGACCAAAGAAATTATAACTTTTACGATTTGGATGTTGATAATGCCATTTACCTGATTTTACGTGGGCCACGTCTTTGTTTTCTGATCATTTTCACGTATTTGTGGTTGCCATGGAAACGAGGAAACACGGAAACGATCCCCTTTTTTGTTCTGAAGGTAAATAAAAGAAGAAACTGTCTCGTTGGCCTAACAGGTAGAAGCTTTGACTTAAATTCTTCATAATCTAGTTTCATAATTTAGTTAGCTAAATAAAACATAAATAACTGTTTTAGCTAGTTCTTCTTTTGATGAAACTCAAAAATTATCGCGGAATCTCGCGAGATAAAACAATCATTTGTTTTTCCTGGACGTGCTAGCCCAGAAATCTAGACGGACAGTAGCAGAAGCTAAAGGATTTATATATTCACCTATATAGGATGGCTAGCCAGACTATGGATGTGCAGAAACTGGTTTAAGAATGGAAATTTTAGCTAAAAGCTAGCATAGATTAGTAGTGTTATTTACACTTCATCTTTTAATTACAGGCGGCCTAGTTATGAGGATTAATAAATTTCTTGTTTATACAGAAAAACGTTAAATAATACTTTTTCACTAGATGAAACATTGAAACAATGATTTTGCATGAAACATGCACATTTTTCTGCAACCAGAATTAGGTCTAAATGAAATAGCCTGTGCAAAGATAAAAGAGTGATTCACCAGTGAGAATAAATAAGACTTTTTAATTAGTCAACATCATTTATTTATCATTTCAGAAAGCAATTACCATCTATTCATCTATTAAAACTCAAATACAACCCCACCTCTGCGGCTCATTTTTCTGATTGTATTAATTAATAGATAAAGAAATGAGTTCCTGCAAACTCAAACATGAATATTTCTAGCCATCTCTACAGAAGCTACATCCTGGCGTGTTCATATTGATATTACATTAGAATTGCCCGCTTGACTTGGTCTCAGTAGAGCAGATCGATCTTGCCAATGCCGTGGAGACTTCAGAGGGTGCGCTGGTTCCGCTGCAGCCCAGACCTGCTGTTGACGCATGTGAAGCTGATGTGAACTGGGACGGTTATAATCTCATGTGAGCAAAGGGATCGATGATCTCACCAGGCTTTAGGCCTCCCTGATCACACTTATTGACCACTTGACACGCTACTGAACTGTACAGTATATGATGGGCTGGGCCTTAGAAACAAGTGGGTTATGACAGAAATGCTGCTATATGAGTTTAGACTGTCAGAACTTTCTCCAGGTTGTGCAGATGTGTGCTTTGTTGCTACTTTAAACATAAAATATATAATTCTGTCAAAATGTGCTAAAATGTAATTCCCCATGTTATTTTATTACATTTTTTTCTGACATTTTTATGTTTAAAGTAGGCAAATGAGGTATTTACAAAAAATATTTGCTAGTTTGCATAAATGTCCAATATTTATGCTTTTAGATGTTTGGTTTTCTTTCATTGCAGTTTCAAAATTACAAAACTGAAACCAGCTGATTTGCTTTTAGTTGTTTACCTTTAAAAAAACTCAGACGACGACAAATCTAAGTGCAAAAACAGTTTTTAGATAACCGACACAACCTTTTGTTTCCACATCAAACTCACAGTTTTTCTTTCTAAAGTTTGCCAAGGAACACAAAATTTCTCACCTGCCACTTACGAGCTCTTTCTGCAGCTTTCAGCCACATTTAACAACTTAGTAAACTAAATATTTAATGACTCAGACCCAATGTTTCACTTAATTTTTCACTTTTAGCTCTCAAAACTTCTAATCAATGCCCCTTCTTCTTTTGGTTGGCTTAAAACTCTTATTTGATGTATTTTTTTAGACATGTCCTCGCCTTTCACTCCCCATCAGCCTCTGAGTCCAGTTCAGGGTCAAGGACGGGCCGTGAACCTTTGCTTCCTGCTGCTAGCTTCCGTCCCCCCGAGGCCTTCGCCTGTGTGACTACACCACCCTGCAGCTGATGACGCAGAAACGTGTGTGCAGCGAGAGTGAGTACAAGTGAAGCCCGTGTTCGTGTGCACCCAGTGATGTGTCTTGAGCCCTGTGTGCGTGCATGTTTGTGTACATCACTTAATAATACAGTAAGAAAGAAACACAACCCCACCGTGACCTGAGCGTGCTCTTTTAACCCCGGTCACATCTCAAGAGAGTTGCCAGAACTCTTTTGCATTACAGCTCTTTCCTGTTTGACTTTCAGAACAAGTCCCTGAACCAAAACCCCAACTTAACCTCTTTCCTTAGCCTGACTGTGCTTTATTGTTCATGTGAAATAAGCGTAGTCATTTATGTGGATGTAAGGCTTCAACACTTTTCAAGAAAAAAGCAGTTTGGAGTTAATTTAACAAAAAAAAATCCAACATTCTCCCTTATGTACATTGTGTGATTACTATAAAACCTGTGCATGGACGTGCAGGACAGGTTGTGCGTGCATTAGCTACACATCATCCAGTTGGTGCAATGCCGATCAGCCACGGGCTAATCAGAGCATTCTAAACCTGCTTAGTACGAGGATGAAAATGAGATCATATCCCTGCAGCCTTGCGGCATTCTCTCATTGGTCCATTAAATCATCCTCTCACACACCATCTGTCTTTATTGGCTTTGCGGCGCAATAATCTCCTGCTCTGCAAGTGGCGCCTAACCAGTTGGCCATCAAACGGCAGTACAATCAATCCACTTCTTTTTTTCAATCAAGCTTGAATACAAATGGCTTACTCTTGCCTTATTTTGGACCACTTTAAGACCTCTAAGGAGCCGTAAACAACCAGCTTTGAAAGCTTATCTTTGAGTGAGACTTTCTGAGATGAGAAGTTGTGAGCAACAAAGTGACAGGGAGAGAAGGAGGTGGGAGAGCTGAGAGAGGAAGGAGAAGATGAGCGGTACTGTACATTCCAGAGCGAACACACACCCTCGATGTTCCTTCATATTTGATGAGCCACCTTACAAGGACCTGTGCCCTTGGAGCCTCAGAGCTCTGCTCGTGTAAGTGCGCTGATGTCCTCACTTTCCTCCGCCCTCTCTCACTCCTGATTTTCTCCTTTTCCTTTGACTCCTCCTTCTCCGTTTTCCTCCTCCTCCTCCTGTCTCTACGCCTCACGCTTGGCCGGGCGGCAGCTCGCTAATGCACCATGGCACATTCTGCAGCTCCGAGTCACAATGCGACTAGGCTTTACGCAGTGACCGAACGGCGACCTCCCTCAGCATCGCTGCACACAGGCGCTGCACTGTGCCAGGGCCTGTTCAGGGAGAGGATGAGAGCTGTGAGTGGAGGGGTCAAAGGAGGAGAGGAGAGGATGGGAGGCAGGGATGCGACATTCACAGATATCAGATCAAACGACAAGAAGATGAATAATTAGCAACAGCGCGAGGGTAAATCATTCGTATCCTCATCAAGATGATATTTTTGTGCCACGTGTGACCTATTAGTGTCAAACAAGACAGCAGCGCTTAAGTGTGCAAATGCACATGTGCACGAGAAAGACAACATGATTTTTCTGCTAATTCCCATTTTCCTATAAGGCAGAAAGCAAACATCCTGCACCTGGAGGTGACTGAACCATAAAACCACTGCTGCTTCAGGAAAGAGAGATTATTTCAGTCCTCACTCAAGGCATTTGTCCACAACTTTCAGGCTTGGGTTCTTTGTGCCCCAGGTTCTGAGCATCCTGCCGTCACACCTTCTGATGATCCTCACATTCCTCCACATCCTTGAGACACCTTGTTCTCAGTCCTCACAGCTCAGCAGAAATGACCAGAAGGAAGGAGAGAGAGATAAAAGAACTGGGATAGTGAGAAAAGAGAGGATAGTGAGGAAAGGAGAAGGGAGGAGGGGAAGTGTGTTAATATCATCTGTGTAAGGAGAGGGGAGGTTGGTGGAACTAGTTTAGTTTTTTATTCATGTTTATTTCTTTATTTTAAAGTTCTACTTTGACGTTGTTTCAATACAAATGCTCATTTTTCTATTTCCTGCTTCCAAAATGCAAACATGTCAATAGCTTGTCAACACACAAATGCCTCTAAGTTTTGCAAGTTTGCAAGATTTTACAAAGACAGCTAAAACTCACAGCTGTTTCTTTAAATTTTAAAGAGCAAGTTCACTGAGAAATCATTTTTTAATTATTTTTGAGATATGATCAGTCACTCTGAGTTTCTCATGCAGGCTGCATGTTATAAAAGTCTTCTACCCCTATTCCCTGCATTGTCTGCTAATAGAAAATAGACACAAAATGCCACACAGATTTATGCCACACTGTAAATTAGCATTGATGGACTCACCCATCTTGGCCTGCGACAGGGAAAGCTGTTGTTGGTGTAGCATCCAGGAGAGAGTAGAGCACATTTTGACTAGCAGAAGCTAACTGTTAGCATTAGCAACTCCACAACATGGCAGAACTCCTTCAGACTGGTGTTACTTGTAGAGATAAAACACCAACATTCCAGATGTGTGTTTAGAACTTGACATCAGTTATTTTTTCTGTTTTGGTTTTTGGAGTTTAAGTTAAAGGCAACAGACTGAAAAACAATGCACAAACCAGAATATTGGTTGGTTCTCTCTCTGTACAAAGCATCAAAAGTTGTCAAAATGTCAAAAGTATATTAGCGATGTAAGAAAAAAATGATTACACTTAAATACGGTGATATTTTGTGCTTGTTAATGGAAAAAGCAGGGTATTGACTTTTTTTTTAATTGAGAATTTACATACAACAATGTATTTCTTTGTGTTGTGCAATTCAAACCCTGACTGCTAGGTGGCAGCATTTTTTACTGCCTCCATTCTGATGGAAGGAGATCTCGCGACAACACTGAATGTGTCTTGGAAGCTTCTGACCAGAGTTTTCCAATTAAATTTAGTCTTAAAACTTCACCATATTGTCTCCTCTGTATTGTGATAGGTATCGTATTGTCACATTCTCACCAATACACTATTGTATAAAAAAACACTATAAAAGTAGAGTTTACTGGTCGGGCAGAGGTGTGAACTCGCACTCTGACTGTGTGTAAAGCTGCAAAGATCAACGTCTCAGCAGCAGAGTGAACAAGCCTCCCCAAACCTTCTCAGTCAGGAGACCATGCTTTAGCAGCAGTGATAGCTGCTCTTCACGGGGAGGCCTCTACATTATGGTACGTACCTGAAAGTGTATATCATGCCAGGTATGCTGCTTATATCTCACACATGTGCTACCCTTTGCACCCATGACATATTGACCTTTTTGTTCCGGTATCCAGGTCACAGAATATTGTCTCGTCCCATTTCACCAAAACCTCCCTATTGTTCCTCT